TTTGAGCTGAGTTCTTGGCAGCCGCATCTCCCCATCCCTGTGCCATGCTGCTTGCCCCTGAGGGAGACCCCGACGCCCTTGACATACCAACTCCTCGCACGTACCGTGAGGTAGTGTCAGGGCTGTGGGCCTCTTAGTGGATAGAAGCCGTGGACTCAGAGATGGCGTTTTGGAGATCCACATGCACTTACGTCGACGCAGTTCCCCCGCCTGGGGGAACGTGGTCGATAAGATGTGTATCTTCAAGGTGAAGCGGCCGCCTGGTTCCTCGCCTGTCTTCAAGGCTCGCTACGTGGCTAGGGGCTTCAGTCGGCGGGGGGGAATTGACTTCTTCCAGAACTTCGCCCGGACCCCGAAGATGACTACTCTTCGGGTGTTACTTCACGTTGCAGCACAGCGAGACTACGAGCTGCACTCCCTCGAATTCTCCACTGCCTTTCTCCAGGGCCGCCTGCACGAGGAGATCTGGCTGCCCCGTCCTCCTGGCTTCACTGAACCTTTCCTGCCTGGGACCCAGTGGAGCCTGAGGCGACCAGTCTAGGGTCTGAGGAGATCTGGCGACCCGTTGATGTTTGTTCGCACTGTTTCCACTCCGTTCTTCGTTCTTGTCCATGTCGATGACTTGGTCTTCCCTACAGCAGACACGGTTGGTCTGGCTGAGGTGAAGTCCGAACTGCAGAAGAGACACACGTGCACAGACCTTGGTGAACTCCGTCGCTACCTTGGCTTGCAGATCACTAGGGACTGAGCCGCTCGCACCATCACACTGACTCAGTCACACATGGTGGAGCAGGTCCTTCAGCGGTTCGGGCTTCAGTACTCTACCAAACGGCCCACTCCTCTTGCCGTTGATCACAGACTCACCGGCCCTTTTCTCGACAAGCTCTTTGAGTCCAATGGTTCCAACACAGAGCTTGTGGGCTGCCTCATGTGCCTGATTACGTGTACTCGTCCGGACCTCGCCTTTCCCCTCAGCGTTCTTTCTCGCTTTGTTGAGACTGGGAGACACCGTCCTGTTCACTGGACGGCTGCTGTGAGGGTGGCAAAGTACCCGGCCACTGCGACTCTTCTTATGCCGACGACGTGCAGGCTCAGTGGTCTACTCAGGGTTACTGCTTCAGCTTGGGCGCAGGAGCTGTGTCGTGTAGGTCTACACAGTCGTCGTCTGTGGCTTCGTCCAGTGCTGAGGCCAAGATCTGCGCCGATGCCATGGCTGCGCAAGAACTGCGCTGGTTGACCTTCAACCTCACGACCTTGGTGAGCGGCCTTACTCTGCACCGACCTTGTTCGCTGACAACAAGGCATGATTCTCCTGTGTCGAGAGCCTCGACTGGAGAGCATAGTGAAGCACATCGACGTGAGGTACTTTTGCCTGCCATAGTTGCAGCGACGCGGCCATGCACGCTTGGATTTCGTCGCCTCAGAGTTCAACACTGCAGACATCTTCACCAAGGCCCTTCCGCCTCGTGACCACCACAGTTTCTGCTTGCAATTAGGCCTTGTTGAGACTGGCACTCGTTTGCGGTAGCCTTGTTTCTTGTTGCTTGTAATTGCACTCATATATATATGTGAACTCTTGAACTGGCCTTGTGGCCGCTTGCTTTTGCTTAGCTTTGAACTGTGTGGTGACTTCGTGATCTACCCTGAGCTTTGTGTTGTTACTTCTCTTGACTAGTCTTGTGACTATTGTGTTTCCTGCTCTCTCTTGCTAGCTCTCACTGAGCCTATATGGGTGTTTCAAACTATATATATTATTGTTGTGAGGTCACCTATAGGTGGTATAATACATTAGGGTTAGTATTTATACCACAACACTTGGTAGTCATTATCAGTCCGTTGCGTTATACCCTTGAGAGTTACGAGCTGCAACGTGGTAACCATAGGGATCGCAATAGTCACTGCCACTGTAGTGGTTCCTCTAATTCCGTTAAGAAGGGTATGTACCCCTCAGAGTACACGGCTAGCTAGGACCATATTTTGCAATGTATATTTTATTATTACCGGTATCATCTTTTCATTTGCATTCACTATGGTCAAGGGAACCTAGAAAGAATTCCGTTGTCTTTCAATCTATCAGACCTATCATGCCCAAAGATCATTTTTTTAATATAACAATTCATAACATGTTCATACAACTTGTTTCCATCTCGTTTAAATGCTTATAGCTATGAACAATAAGCAGGAATAACGTAACACTGTAAGCATCCTTATCTCCACTTTAATCGGCTGAACCCGACTTTCAGGGCGGAAGGGGTGTAGGTTGATGTGCGATTCCTTCTAGGGCGTGATGACACTCCAGGTGCCGAATAACACCTTCACGAATGGCGTCGGTCGCACAAGTTTCACAGCCAGCTCAGCCCCCTCACCCTCACGATTTCGTCGCGTGAGTTTGTCGCGGACGCACTTCGTCGCCACAGCAGCACCACCAAGCCATAACCCCACCACCAATGGACGACCAACCATCCACGTCACTCTGAACGATATGCTTGGTCGGGTGCGACGTGCTCTCCGTCAAGTTTGTTGCCGTCAAGTAGCGATAGCTTTCCGAGTCGCCCTCTCACATTCTCGAGCCGCACATTCCATCTCAATCCCAATTGAGAATCGAGAGAAATGCCTTCCCTTCCCACCCTCCACCTGCTCCCACCTCAGCCCCCCATAACTCCCATAAATAGGTCCGATAAACTTCTTCCCACCATCGCATTCCATTCCAGCTTCACACACTAGTAAGAAATTCCGAAGCTCCTGTTTATTCTCCAAGAAAGCCCGCTTCCCTCGAACGACTCGCCATGGCGTACTCGAGAGTGACCGCCCTAGCCTGCGCGCTGCCCCTGGTGGCGCTCGTGCTGACGTCGCTTTGCCTCAACGCTTCCGCCGAGCTCGCCATTCCCGAGGCTGCCTCATCCGCCCTTGCCGCCGCCATGTCCGGCGACCTGGCTCAGCTCGACGCCTCCAATGCTCTCAGCGACGACGCTGCGACGAGGAGGATTCTCGACGACGATGATGATGACGAGGACAAGAAGAAGAAGAAGAAGGACAAGAAGAAGAAGGATAAGAAGTCGAAGAAGTCGCCTCCCACTCCCTCCCCTTCCACTCCCACCACTCCCACCACGCCGAACAAGAACGGCGGCAAGAAGACGCCTCCCACTCCCAAAACCCCCGCCACTCCCGGCAAGCCCGCCACTCCCGGCGCCCCCGGCGCGGGGAAGCCGGCGGTGAAGCTGAGCGGGTCGGACTCGAAGGTGGTATCGCTGCTGGATGCGGCGGCGGTGGATGTGGACAGCGCCAAGGCGAAGCTGACCGTCAAGACGTACGTCAAGAGCCTCACGGACACGGCGGCGGCGCTGCGCAACGCGGCGATTCTGATCCGCACGGGGCAGCGCACGCTGGTGGCGGGGCAGATCAGCAACTCGATCGCCACCATCAACGGCGTGAGCATGATGCTCCCCGCCGGCGGCGCCGACAAGAGTCTGCTCGCGTCCGCACTCGGCAAGGCGCAGAGCGCCAAGGCCGCGTGGAAGGCGTAACGCGCCCAGCGCGGATGGCGTCGCGGGATCTACGAATGCGCGCCCAGGCGGGGTGGCTGGATGGGTCCTTTGTATCGCCACTTCTATACCGGCGCGAAACTAGCCGTTGGGTCCTTCGCTGATTGGCGTAGCAGTTTAGTACCCAGGTGGTGCCAGCACCGACCAATAATAACTTGTGCCTGTTGTGGCCAATCGTTGCTAGAAGTAATGTTTCTCTTAGTAATATGAGGATGTTCAGTTGTATAGATATCGTTGTACGGGATAACGTTTGTCTCACGGAGCTCACTTCTCACATCAAGATGCTTGAAGAGTACGCTTTTCTATTTCCAAGTTCAGAAGCGGACCTGCATCAGAAGTGTATGCACGCTTGTGTTCTTTATCATTAGCCTACCTCGGACCTGCATCTAATGTCCTAGTTCGTGTTTTTTGGACTCTCCCGTTTCCTGAAATCGAGTGTCAATCACTTATTCACTCGAATTCAGCACATGGCATTCTTTGCCATTCGCCCCCTCACGCTTGCATACCCTCTACGTCACATTACATTCCTAGGGTGAGCATTCTTTCTCAGCTGTACCTGCAAACGCCATCGCCCCAGCTGCCTTCAGGGCAGGCAGCACCTAGCAGGAGCGGCACGGCAACCAACAACGGCACTGCACCCTGCATCAGCTGTTCCTCCTGGCGCACACAACAAGGCAGTTGACTGATTCTCTCTGTGTGGCATTGCCACAGCTGCTGCGGGTGGACCGTTGACCTGATAAACTTCAATAAGCTTTCCGTATAACTACACCACGCTCTCCTGGTTCTGTGATGAGGGGAATATTCTTTCCTACTTGTTGAAGCATAGCAGGGACTGTACATAATATATTCAGCCCATTTACAGTATTCGGAATCAGAGCCCTCTTTAACGGATAAGACTTGACTTCCAAAATTAATGTAAATACAGTAACGTCCTTGTATAGATCCATTCTACTATTTCTAAAAAAACAGACAGAAACTCTTCTGCTGGAGAAAACTCTGCTGTTCATGATATGGGAAGGTGAAAGCTCACATACATACCCATACGCTGGCACGCACCACATGCACATGACTGCGAGTGACGAGCCCCAGGTGGGGAGGCATGTGCATCTGGGTGGGTGCCATGCCTGCTTTTCATGCCCCCCTTTCCATCCCCCACCTTACCACCCCTATTCGCCTCAGCATGCAGGGGGCATGGTGGCAGGTGGCTGGGTATGCTCATGACCGCGGGTGACGAGCCTGAGTGGCATAGGCATGTGCATGTGCATGTGCATGTGCGCAAGCGGCATGTCTGCATCTGTCCCACTCCCCCACCTCCACCCCTACTTCGCCTCAGCGCGCAGGCGGCATGGCGGCAGGCGGCTGGGGGCTGTTGCTCATGACTGGGGGTGATGATCCCGGGTGGGGCGGCATGGGCATGTGGGCATGTGCACCACTCCCCTCCCTACAACCCTACTTCGATTAGCGCGCAGGGGGCATGGCGGCAGGTGGCTGGGGGCTGCTGTTCATAACCGGAGGTGACGGGCCTTGGTGGGGCGGCATGGGCATGTGGCCGGGCGGCATGCCGTGCATGGGAACCATGGGCGGGCGGTGGAAGAAGTGTGGGGGCGGCAGCATCACAGGGCCTGGTGGAGGGAGGGGGAGTGGGATGAAGAAGAGGAGGGGAGCGGGTTCGAGATGCAGAGTGAGTTTTTAGGTGCCTAAGAAATGGAACCATTGGTGGGCAGTGGAAGAAGTGAGGAGGGCAACAGCATCACAGGGCATGGTTAGGGGTTGGGGTGTGGGATGGAGAAGAGGGGCGGAGTGAGGTGGGGATGCCGAATGATTCTTTAGGTGCCTAAGGAATGGAGCCAATGGTGGGCAGTGGAAGAAGTGACGGGACAGCAGCATCACATCACAGGACCTGGTGGGAAAAGGGGGTGGGAGTATACACAAGGCAAAGAGTATGGTGGGGTTCACATCGAAGATTGAACTTCGGTCGGAAAACGGGGCATCAGGAGGAAAGAGAGTAGTACGAGAGATCGAGGAGTGTCGAGGAATAGTGGCGGTCTACTGGAGGAAAGAGAGTAGTACGAGCGAATGAGGAGTGTTGAGGCGAGAGAGAGGAGTTGAAGGATTGATAGGAAAAGGTGGGGATACGATACAGCTGCATAGATGCGGGTTCAATAGGGTGGTAGGGCCAGCTACACTCGCAAGCTCACCTCGTGGCATCCCCATGGGATACATCTGAGGGGGACCCTTGTGCTGTGCTGCCATTCCCGTCAATGGTGCTCCCTGCTGCTGCGGCTGCTGTTGCTGTTGCTGTTGCTGTTGCCCTGCGTCTTGTTGCTGCTGTTGCCCTTGCTGCTGGTCTGTGCTTGCTTGCTGTGAGCCGTCTTGCTGCTGCTGCTGTTGCTGTGACTGGTCCTGTTGCTGCTGAGATGCCATCATCATAGGAGCAGGCATCATCTGGGGTGGGCAGCACGAGAAAAAGGATAAGCGATGGTGAAACACTCGAAACATGATTGAGGTTTCACCCCAAACTCCTCTACACGTTAGACCTCAACCTTATCTCTTGCTTCCTACCTTCCATGCTTCCTAGCATTGCAGATATTGAGCTTCAAATGTATGCCACGCCTCACAAGAAACAAACAACACCGACAGCAACACGGGTAAAGACAACAACAGGACAAACAGCACATGAAAAAGCCACGAGAGCGCGAGGACGAACCTAAGGCATGGGCATGTACATGAGCTGCCCGTGCTGCCCATACATCATGGGCTGGGGAAAGGGTATGCTAGGCCAAGGGTGGTACGGCAAGGGGGAGTGTGCAAGGCAGTGTATCAAGCCTGCTAGCTGTGTGCGCCAAGGGGGGCAGGAGAGGGCGAGGACGGACCTGAGGCATGGGCATGTACATGAGCTGTCCGTGCTGCCCATACATCATGGGCTGAGAAAACCCACGCGGACTTTGAGTCGACTAAAAAATCAGGAGAGAGTGCGAGGACGAACCTGAGGCATGGGCATGTACATGAGCTGGCCGTGCTGCCCGTACATCATGGGCTGGGGAAACCCCTGCGGGCTGAACATCATTGGCATGCCGCCCATGCCGCCCGCCATGCCGCCTCCAGGCATGGGCTGGCCGGCGCCGTGAGGCGCAGGGAGGTAGGGACGCATGGGAGGGGGCATGCCGGGCGGCATACCGGGCGGCAGCATCCCTTGGGGTGGCATGCCTTGGCCTGGCATGCCTTGGGGCGGCATGCCCTGGGGTGGCATGGGCATGAAAGCTGGTGATGGCTGGTGGGAGGGAGAGAGGGCAGAGGGGGCAGTGGAGAAGCGGGGGAGGGCGGATGCAAGGAAAGCAGCAACGATTGAACAAAAGGGAAGGAAGGAAGGACTCCTGAAGGAAAGAAAGAGGATTCTAATACTGATCAAGGGATACCTTATTGTGGAACGGAAAGCATGAAAACATACACATATTAAGTGCTGCAGAACAAACGAAAACAAAGGCTAGGTTTACTCTAGCAAGTGAAAAAAAAAAGCAAAAAAAAAAAAGCACTATCAGACAAGGGAAATCTGGAATGGCGCTGGCTACGCCTTTTACCGTAGGTGAGATTAGGATGACGAACCTGCTGCTGCGGCTGCCACTTGTTCATGTCACTTTGATCAGAGAAGCTTCCATCCCCCTGCTCTCCCTGCTGCTGCCCCTGCTGTTGCTGCTGCAGTTGCTGTTGCCCATAGTGCACTTGCTGCTGCTGTTGCTGTTGCTGCAGTTGCTGCTGCTGCTGCTGCTGGTGCTGGTGCTGCTGCTGACCATACTCCCCGCCATCCCCCTGTCGGTGCCTGTGCTGCTTGTCCTGCTGCTGGTGATGCCGCTGCCGCCGCTGGTGTCCTGACCTTGGCTGGTGTGCCTGATGTTGCAGCAGCTGCTGCTGCTGCTGCTGGTAGTGATGATTATAATTCTGATTTTGGTTCTGGTTCTGCACTTGTCCTGCTGCTGTCCCTGCGCCCTGCCCGTCACCTTGCCCCTGCATCCCCCCTGCCCCTCCACCACCCCCCCCAAACTCCCCACCATCACTCCCGCCTTCCCCTTGCTTTCCCCCTTCCTTCCCCCCGCTACCCCCTCCCGTGAATCCTTGCTGAGAGAACAATGCCTGCTGCTGCTGTTGCTGCTGCTGGGGCGGCATGTACAATGGCTGGGGAGCCACAGCCAATGGAGGCATGCCACCTGGCACCGAAACAGGGATAGGAATAAGCCCTGCCGCCCCGGCTTGTCCCACAGGGGGAACGGACCCAGGGGAGGGTAGGGGGAGGGGGAGCGCGGAAGCAGGAGGGGTGGGGGCGCCAGGGGCGTTGGCGGGGGGAATGGGGGAAGACAGGGCGGGGGAGGGGGGAGGGAGAGGGGTGGGGAGGTAGAGGGGGGCGGGGAAGGGGATGGGGGCGCCAGGGGCGGAAGGGGGTGCGCCAGGGAGGGGTTGGAAGGGGAAGGGGTGGTCTGGGCGGGGTTGGGGGGGGAGGGCGGAGGGGTAGGCGGGGATGAAGGGCGGGGGGAGAGGGAGGGGCGCGGAAGCGGGCATGGAGAAGGTGGGTGTAAAAACCTTGGCGTTGGGGTTGAACTTGAACTCCTGGGGGTGTGGGGGACGGGGGAGGGGAGGGAGGGGGAAGGGGGGGGGGGAGGGAAGAAGATGGGATACGAAGGGGGTGAGTGAGTGGGATAGACGGGGGAAGGGGAGGCGGGCATGGCGAAGGTGGGTGTGAAGACCTTGGAGTTGGAGTTGAATTTGAACTCCTAATGGGTAGCAGGGGGACGGGGAGGGGAGAGGGGGAAGGGATGGGGGAAGGGAAGAAGATGGGATAGGAAGCGGGTGAGTGAGTGTGATAGAGGTGGAAAGGGGAGGCGGGCATGGCGAAGGTGAGTGTGAAGACCTTGGAGTTGGAGTTGAATTTGAACTCTTGGGGGAGGGAGGCGAGGGGTAAGGGAAGGGAAGGGAGAGGGGGTTTGAGGGGCAAACGCAGATGGCCTGACGTGACGAGGTGTATGTGCATGAGCCAAACTGTGCATGGGTGTGTGTGTGCATGCGTGTGGGGAAGTGGGAAAATCTGAGAGAAAGGAAAAAGGGGATGTTGGAAGCTGGGTGGAGAGAGGGATGAACGGACTAGAGGAAGGAGAGGAAAGGGAGGGGGGCGAGACAGGGAGCATGAGAGAAGGTGAGACGAGAGCATGAGAGAAAGAGAGGAAGGTCAGTTCACACCTTGGCGTTTGGATTGAGGGTGGATTTCTTCACAGCAGCAGGAGCACCACTTGCAGTAGCAGCAGGAGCATTGCTGCTGCCTGCTGCTCCTTCCACACCCTCTGCCACCTCCCCTGCCGTTCCTCCTGCTGCCCCAACCCCACCACCACCGCTAGGCACGTCTGCTGCTGTTTCACCACTTTCAGCTCCTCCTGTCCCCACCCCACCATCTGCTGCGCCTGGCGCCGCTGCTGCCGCCGCTGATGCTTCGGCAGAATCCGGTTTCGGTGCCGGAGCTTTGGCTGCTGAGGTGGCAGCCGGCGCTGACGTGGCAGGAGCGTCCACGGAATGCGAGTTCGAGCGCGCCAGGTTGGATGGCGACGGGGAGCGGTATGACAGGAGCGGCAGCGGAGGAGACAGCGGCGGAGGAGGAGGATCGGAGGAGCGCCGAGGCTGCAGAGGCTAGGAAGGGCTTCAGGTCCGGGGAGGAGTGGGAGCTCTCGAGATAGGTGGGGGTGTTGCGACCAGAGGAGCGACCTGCAGGGGGGAGAGAGGGGAAGGGATAAGAGGATGGAGGAAGCAGAGGCGAGGCGGCAGGGAAGGGAGTAGAGTTTAGGAAGGGCTTGAGGTCCGGGGAGGAGTGGGAGCTCTCGAGGTAGGTGGGTGGGGGTGTTGCGACCAGAGGAACGACCTGCAGTCAGGGGGGAGGAGAGAGAGGGAATGGCAGGGGGACGGAGGACGGAGGGAGCAGAGGACATGAGGCAGCAGCGGCGAGGAGGCAGCAGAGGCAAGGAAGGGTTTGAAGTCCGGGAAAGAGTGGGAGCTCTCGAGGTAGGTGGGGGTGTTGCGACCAGAGGAGCGACCTGCAAGGGGGATGGGGGGGAAGGGACAAGAGGATGGAAGAAGCAGAGGCAAGTAGGCAGCACAGAAGAGGAGGAACGGAGGAGTGCCGAGGCTGCAGAGGCTAGGAAGGGCTTCAGGTCCGGGGAAGAGTGGGAGCTCTTGAGATAGGTGGGGGTGTTGCGGCCAGAGGAGCGACCTGCAGGGGGGGGGTCGGGGGAAGGGCAGGAGGAGGGAGGGAATAGAGGTTATGAGGCAACAGTGGCGAAGAGGCAGCAAAGGCGAGGAGGCATTGACTGGCGGGGATGAACGAGGAAGGAGGCGATGGGAGAAGAGGCAAGAGATGAGAGGATGGCTGTGTGGAGGGGTTGAAGGTAGAGCAAGTAGGAGAAGTGGCTGAGGTGGCATGGCTGGGCTGGGCACCAGAGATGAACGCGACTCACATGAAGAGACAGGAGAGCGCGAATCGAATTGCTGAATGAGATATGGCCACCACGATTCCATTTTAGTCCAAAGCAGGGAGGACAGCCAGCCGGAGATCCAGCCGGAGCAGCAGCCAGAGGTAGGTACGCACAGTGAGTGGGAGGAGAGACACACAGGGGGGGGAAGTATGGACATACGAGGTTTATGTGGTGGCAATAAAGTCCACCATTTTTGAGGCAGGTATAAAACAGAATCATGCTAGCTCAAAACACTGTAGCTCTAAACACTATAGCTCTAAACACTGTAGCTCCAAACACTATATATCTAAACACTGTAGCTCTAAACCCTCTAGCTCTAAACAATGTAGCCCCCCTCACGCCAACCCCCGTCCAACCCCTGTATTAGCTAAGAATTGAAGTCAAGTTGACTTGATATAGTGGTGTCCGCACATTCTCCCCCCTTCCCCCCCCCCTCTCTCTCCCCAGCCCCCCACGTTGCCCAGCAGATCGCTACATGAGCGCACCCCCTCGGCCTCGTCGCGTATGCGCCGGCTCCTCTGCTTGAACTCCTGGAACTCACTGCGAGGAGGGACGGGGAAGGGTGGAGAGAGGCGAAGGGCGAAAGGTGACGACTTTTGAGACGTCTCAGAAGTCGCCCACCCACCAGATATACATGATCCGAAACGTAGCGCAGGCACGCTCTGGTCGAGGAGGTTGAGTGCCTGTTCCCCCTACCCTTAACCCTGATTTTGGACCCTACTCGTATGAACCCAGCGCACCAACCCACCACCTCTTCCCCCACTTCCCAACCCTCCGACACCCACCGGTACACGTCATCGGAGAGGTGTGGCACGCTCTGGTCGAGGTTGAGTGCCTGCAGGTTGGCGGGGGGTGCTGCACTCCTCCCAGTTCCTCCAAAACCACTTCCGCCCTTACCATCCAACCACCCTCTCCCTCCCACCCACCCCCCTCCCCCTTCTTTCCTCCCACCCACTGGTAAACATCGTCTGAGAGGTGCGGCACGCTCTGGTCAAGGTTGAGCGCTTGCAGGTTGGCGGGGCATGCTTCAGGAAGCACCCACCACTCCCCACCACTCCCCACCACTCTCCACCTACCGGTACACATCATCAGACAGGTGCGGCACGCTCTGGTCGAGGTTGAGCGCCTGCAGGTTGGCGGGGGCGTCTGTGAGCAACGGCGACATGAGGGGCGAGCGACGGGATGGGCTGCCGTGCACCTGGAATAGCCCCCCTGATGCCGCCTGGTGAAGAGAGGGAGGGGGAGAGGGAAATGGGGGAGGGGAGAGGGAACAGGGGGAGGAGGTGAGCATGGGTGGGGAAGCGCGGGTGCGGGGAGCGGAGAAAAGGAAGAGAAGTGGAGTGGGGAAAGATGAATGGAGCTGGGGAGTTGGGGGAAGGGGAACGGGGTGGGTGGGCATACGATCGGCCAAAAACGAACAAGGCATTCGAAATGACCTCTGAAGACACCAGCAAGCAATGGGATGAGTGAAGTGTGGTATAAGTTGACGATGCGGCCGGCTGGTGTGCATTCCCTACTCTCGTTTGCCGTTCCCGTTTAGGATCCCGTTCCTCATTCCCGTTCCTCATTCCCGTTCCTCATTCCCGTTCCTCATTCCCGTTCCTCATTCCCGTTCCTCATTCCCGTTCCTCATTCCCGTTCCTCATTCCCGTTCCTCATTCCCGTTCCTCATTCCCGTTCCTCATTCCCGTTCCTCATTCCCGTTCCTCATTCCCGTTCCTCATTCCCGTTCCTCATTCCCGTTCCTCATTCCCGTTCCTCATTCCCGTTCCTCATTCCCGTTCCTCATTCCCGTTCCTCATTCCCGTACCTCATTCCCGTTCCTCATTCCCGTTCCTCATTCCCGTTCCTCATTCCCGTTCCTCATTCCCGTTCCACATGGTGAAGTGGTCAGCGAAAGTAGGAAACGAATCCAACAACCACCTTGCTGTGCGTGATTGCTCACAACTGACCAAGCCACGATGCCTCCAACAAACCAACCTGGTACTGTTGAATTTTTCTCACATACCCCGTTTCAACCGTTATCGAATGCAGAGAAATGCTCTGCAACCTCACCTTACCGAATGAAGTGAATTTTGAGCAACAAGGATGTTGGTGAGGTGACATGAAAGGCAGCGAGCTACAGTAGTTTTGTGGTGGTGTAGCGCCACAGCAATTCTTGTAGGCAGATGGGTCCGCCTGGAGGAGTCGCACGAGCCAACCACATGAGCTCGCGCCAATCTCGAGATTGATCAGACCTGTTCCATCAGGAGTGTAGCGCTGACATATATAAACTTAACTTTGTGCTGTTTGGTATAGATCACCCTTTCTTTCTAATCGAAATAATCACCAGCATATCCTGAATAATAAGAGCTGAATATAATGAAGGTATATAGAATATATGCTATTATATTCTCCTTACCAGTAATTAGTAGTCATGCAAGTGCAGCATCAATGATGGCTTTGGTTTCTGATTGGTGGATGGCGAAGCTACCAGTGGCAGGAGAGGCGGATGGGGCACGCCCAACAAAACGGATGGGCGTGGGTGCTGATGTGGCAGGGTGACCTGGACACAGGCTGTGCAGTAGCGTGGCGACACGTGGTCTGATGTACGGCCATGCTCCCATGTTCTTGGGCTCCTCCTGTAACAATGCAGTAGAACAATTGGCATACCGGCAAAAGAAATGAGACAGGAAACATGTGAACTCTAAGAGCAGTAGCTGGGTTGCGCTTGTACCCGCACGAGTGAAGCACTGGAGTGCCTACTTACGACCCTACCGCCGCACAAGTGTGTGGGGTGAGCAAAGCGGGTGGAAAAGAAGAGGGAGGAGCACTCACCTGCCCCCACACGAGCTCAGCAGAGGGGTGGCAATTGATGACCCAGGCTACATGGTCCACAGCCATGGGCGCCAGCTGCTCTATGCGCATCAACCCCCAGGGGGGAGGAAGAGTGGGGGAAGAAAAGGAGGAGAAAAGAGGAAAGGGGGAGAGGAGCAGCACCCACCTGCGCCCACACGAGCTCAGCAGAAGAGTGGCTGTTGATGACCCGCGCTATATGGTCCACCGCCATGGGCGCCAGCTGCTCTATGCGCATCAGCCCAGAGGAGGAGCAAAGACAGCGAGCCAAGAGGAGGGGAAGGAGGGGAGGAGCACCCACCTGCGCCCACACGAGCTCAGCAGAAGAGTGGCTGTTGATGACCCGCGCTACATGGTCAACAGCCATGGGCGCCAGCTGCTCGATGCGCATCAGCCCCACCTCCCACTGCTTCCTCGCCCTCCTGGCGTGCGCCAGCGAGTAGTAGATCTGGCGTGGTGGTGGCAGGGAGGGAGGTATGGACACATGGGTGCGTCGAGTAGAAGGTCTGCTGTTGTGGCATGGGTAGCAGGAAGGAAGGTGGAGAGCAGGGATGTGATGGTGGCACGGTTTGATAGACGGTGAATTGGGGACGCAAAGCATGCGGCAGCATGTAGTGTCGCAACGCAGGTGCCATCCCATGCCGTCACATGCCATCACATGCCATACCATGTAGCATGATACGTCAGCAGAAATTCAATATGCACCACAACACAGAGCATGCCAATGCCTCACCTTCCCCGAGCACAGCACAAGCCGTTTCATCTGGCCGGGCGGCAGCAGCTTGTCAGCATGCAAATGCCGCATGTTGTCTCCTATGTCTCCATCCGCTATCACTGGCCTGGCGGCGCGCATTGCACACAGGGGTGTAGTATTACGCTTATATTCGACTAGAGACTCGTCTTTTGGGACGACTCAGAAAAGCATTCCACAGAGGGGAGAGGAAGGGGAGCACATAACCCATGCTTTGTGTATGCCTCACGTTGTCGCCTATGCATCGAAAACTGCCCTACAGACATATCCGTTTCCATGAAAAGAAAGAAGGTTGAGAGTCACACTGTGGATGTCAATGGGGGAAGGGGGGGAAGAAGGGGGGAGGTATTGCAAGAAGCATGCGAGGGGAATGAGAGCTCACTCACTGGAAGAATGTGCCGGATGTGAAATGGCTGAGAGGTGATGCGCAGGGCTTGTGATGCAGCAGGTACTGCTTGGGCAGAAGGCGGGGGAGAAACAGGGGTGTAATGGGAGGACAGAGGTACAAGCTACTAACTTGAGTGGGAGTGATTGATTGGGTAATGGAGCTCTTGTGTCGCATGTACACTAAGAATGGGCTGGAAAGGACGAAAGGGAACTCAGGGATTTTTTCCTACAAGATCTGCTGAAGTCTGCAATTGGTGGGTTGGAGAGTTGGCATGATCGCATTTGGGTAAGTTTGGGATGTTGTGTCTATGGCACAACTCACGCAACCTCTTCTACACTAGAACAATATACAAAGAAGGTCAAGAACAGTAGGGGCGTGAGAAGCAAGGGGTGTGAGCAGCAAGGGGCGTGAGCAGCAAGGGGCGTGAGCAGCAAGGGGCGTGAGCAGCAAGGGGTGTGAGCAGCAAGGGGTGTGAGAAGCAAGGGGTGTGAGCAGCAAGGGGTGTCACCTTGGGGGACATGACGACGAGGGGCTTGGAGAAATGCCGATTGACCTGCGCAAGGGAGAGAGGTGACCGACAGATGGGTGCACATGGGTGCAGATGGGTGGATGGGGAGAGATAAGCACTAGGAGATGAGGATGGTAGTGGTATGCACATAATGAGATTATGCCTTGATGACACATGTCAACAGACAGCAGTGGAGGGCACCTGGCAGCAGAGGGCACCTGGCAGCAGAGGGCACCTGGCAGCAGAGGGCACCTGGCAGCAGAGGGCACCTGGCAGCAGAGAGGGCACCTGGCGGCGGAGGGCACCTGGCAGTGGGGAGAAGTAAAGAAAGCACCTGGCGGCGGAGGGCAAGCACCTGGCGGCGGAGGGCGTGGAAGTAGTTGGCGGGCGTGGTGAGGTTGACGACACACACGTTGTTGTCCCTCTGTGCGTTGCGCCTCATCCACCTCACCATGAATGACTCCCAGTCCGCCCTGGCGGGACACACACAGCACATGGCATATGTATGATGCATGCATGGAGCTGAGTAAGAAACCTATAATCACAGCGGAAATTACGTTGCTGCAACCAAAGCACCACGGATGCCTCTCAGTCCGCCCTGGAGGCACACACGTGATGTGATCACAAATGCCGGACGTATGTATGCATGTATGTAGGTATGTTACGTACACACCATGAATGCCTCCCACTGACCCAGAGTTGATACGACAGACATGATCGCACGAGCTACGTGTATGGTGTATGCGGTAGCTCCTTCACCAATCTGTCGGCTCACTTGGAGATTTGATTTGATTCATCGATGTGCATCTGGTGGGCAAGCGCCGTCACGTAGTCGTGGCCCAGCCCGTATTGTGATTGCATGAACTCCAGCAAATCAGAGAGTGACACGTGGCCCTTGTTGTCTGCCATGGATTAGGGTTGGTAGGGTTGAAATAAGAGACGCCATCACCAACAGTCCTTCTAGTACCCTCTCCACCTCAACTGCCCTCTCCACCTCAACTGCCCTCTCCACCTCAACTGCCCTCTCCCCCTCAACTGCCCTCTCCACCTCAACTGCCCTCTCCCCCTCAACTGCCCTCTCCACCTCAACTGCCCTCTCCCCCTCAACAGCCCTCTCCACCAGATTCCCAATCTTCACTTGCTCTTCCCATGCTCTCCATTCTTCTATCCATGCCCCTTACTCTGTTTTAGCCGAAGCACTATTCTTCCATTTCTGTTGATTCAAGCCCATCGACTCGTCATCCAAGCACTGTTGCCACCCAGCCCACCGCCACCCACTCACCGCGGTCGGCTATCGTGAACCCCGCCTCAATCTGGGCGGCCAAGTGTGGACTGTAGCCGGGAAGGTGGTCGGCATCGTCGTTCACTAGCTACTTGGAGACAGGTGAAGGGGAAGGAATGGGGGAGCGGAGGAAGTGGGGGGTAGGGGAAGAGAATGGGGGAGGGGAGGGCTTTTGGGATGTCCCAAGAGTGTGGACTGTAGCCGGGGAGATGGTCGGCATCGTCGTTCACTAGCTACTTGGAGACAGGTGAAGGGGAAGGAACGGGGGAGCGGAGAGGTAAGAGAAGAGAATGGGGGAGGGGAGGGAATGGGAAAGAGGAAAGAGGGAGGGGAAGAAATGGGACGGAGGTGGGAAAACAGAGGACGGAAAGTGTTGGGGGAGCGGTGGGGAGGAGGAAATGAATGGAAAAGTGGGGTGGCAGTAGGTGAAGGGATGGAAGGTGTCTAGCCGAGCTGTCAAGGAGAGCAGACAGATGTGGATTGAGTGACGTGCCATGGCCATTAGAAATTACATGAAATCAGACAACCTGCAGGATCAACCTGAAGGACCCACCTGAAGAACCACCTGCAGGTAATTCTCAAGGCCCCCAAGAAGGACCAACCTGGAAGACCCACCCTGAACTGAAGGACCCACCTAAAGGACTCACCTGAAGGACCCACCTGAAGGACCCACCTGAAGGACCCACCTGAAGGACCCACCTGAAGGACCCACCTGAAGGACCCACCTGAAGGACCCACCTGAAGGACCCACCTGAAGGACCCACCTGAAGGACCCACCTGAAGGACCCACCTGAAGGACCCACCTGAAGGACCCACGTGCAGGTATTTCTCTCAAGCCTCCCAAGAACTCACCTGAAGGACCCAGCACCCACCTGCAGGTACCTCTCGAGGCGGGCGGAGGGGTGCTCGGTCCCCCCTGGCCATCAAAGCCATGCGGAAGTAGCGACAAGAAACCGGTGGTTCTTTTCTTGCAGTTGAAAAACAGACCCACCTGCGGGTACCTCTCAAGGCCGCCAAGAGCAACCCACCTGCAGGTACCTCTCGAGGCGGGCAGAGGAGTGCTCGGGGCCCTGGCCGTCGAAGCCGTGCGGCAGCAGTAGCACGAGGCCCGTGGGGGTCATCCACTTGTCCTCCCCGCTCACTATGAAGTTGTCTATTATCGCCTGCGCGTTGTTCGCAAAGTCCCCAAACTGATGGCACCGGGGGGGGAGTAGGTGCGGTGGGTGGAGGAAGGGCGAGGAGAGGGAGGGGAGAAGGGGGGGAGACGGAGAGGAGAGGGGAAAGAGTGACGGGAGAGTGGAAGGGGGAAAAAAGGGAGAGGAGAGGAAGAGAATGGGAGGAGAGGGAGAGGAGAGGGAAAGGATAGGAATAGAAGAGGGATAGGATACAGAAAGGAGTGAAGGGAGAGTGGAGGAGTGAGTGTTATAGCCCACGTGAGCCTCCCATCCAATCCCAGTACCGTACAGCACATGAGCCGTGCCGGCCGGCACAAGACATGTCAGAAGAGAACAGGTGGGCTACATAACACATCAACACCTGCATGGCACACGGGCGAACCTCCTAACCCACCTGCTCTTCTCCCAGCAGACCAGGGCATTCTCGTAATTCGAGGCCCAGTGCACGAGAGCAGTCCATCTAACTCACCTGCGCTTCCTTCCCAGCAGACGAGGGCATTTTCGTTCTCCAGGCTGAAGCCGTACTCGAACTCAAAGCCCAGCACTGCACAGCACGCCACTGGCCCTCCCAACCCAACCCACCTGCGCCTCCCAGCACACGAGGGCGTTCTCGTTCTCGAGGCTGAAGCCGTACTCAAAGCCCAGCACTGCTGCCTCCGACAGGCTCGAGTTGCACACCATGAATCGCTCCTGCCCCGCTGCCACGTGCTGTAGCGGGGTGTACCTGCAATGGATCATGATTCACATGTGGGCCGTATTGCATGGAGTGGGAGTGGTGGTGTGAAGCGCACTTTGAGGGCACAACAGCAGCTTCTGACAGGCTCGAGTCAAGTTGCACACCATGAATCGCTCCTGCCCCGCTGCCACGTGCTGTAGAGGGGTGTACCTGCAATGGATCATGATTCACATGTGGGCCGTATTGCATGGAGTGGGAGTGGTGGTGTGAAGCGCACTTTGAGGGCACAACAGCAGCTTCTGACAGGCTCGAGTCAAGTTGCACACCATGAATCGCTCCTGCCCCGCTGCCACTTGCTGTAGAGGGGTGTACCTGCAATGGATCATGATTCACATGTGGGCCGTATTGCATGGAGTGGGAGTGGTGGTGTGAAGCGCACTTTGAGGGCACAACAGCAGCTTCTGACAGGCTCGAGTCAAGTTGCACACCATGAATCGCTCCTGCCCCGCTGCCACGTGCTGTAGAGGGGTGTACCTGCAATGGATCATGATTCACATGTGGGCCGTATTGCATGGAGTGGGAGTGGTGGTGTGAAGCGCACTTTGAGGGCACAACAGCAGCTTCTGACAGGCTCGAGTCAAGTTGCACACCATGAATCGCTCCTGCCCCGCTGCCACGTGCTGTAGAGGGGTGTACCTGCAATGGATCATGATTCACATGTGGGCCGTATTGCATGGAGTGGGAGTGGTGGTGTGAAGCGCACTTTGAGGGCACAACAGCAGCTTCTGACAGGCTCGAGTCAAGTTGCACACCATGAATCGCTCCTGCCCCGCTGCCACGTGCTGTAGAGGGGTGTACCTGCAATGGATCATGATTCACATGTGGGCCGTATTGCATGGAGTGGGAGTGGTGGTGTGAAGCGCACTTTGAGGGCACAACAGCAGCTTCTGACAGGCTCGAGTCAAGTTGCACACCATGAATCGCTCCTGCCCCGCTGCCACGTGCTGTAGAGGGGTGTACCTGCAATGGATCACGATTCACATGTGGGCCGTATTGCATGGAGTGGGAGTGGTGGTGTGAAGCGCACTTTGAGGGCACAACAGCAGCTTCTGACAGGCTCGAGTCAAGTTGCACACCATGAATCGCTCCTGCCCCGCTGCCACGTGCTGCAGGGGGGTGTACCTGGGGTGAAGCACACAGATTGGTTGGGGTCGTATGGGAGGGAGGGAGGGAGGAAGGGAGGGATGGAGGGGGTACTGGTGTGAAAAGAGACTCCAAGCTTGGATTAGCTGCTACAAAAGGGTGTATATGATATGTTATAAACACTAGACGCTTGTAGTTGAGTGGCTATGGTGTAGAGAGAACGCACTCGCCACTCCTGCCCCATGGCCTCGTCTGGTCGTGCATGACATGACAGTATGGCGGTGGTTGAATGTGCCCCATGAGTGTGTGTGCAGATATAAGAACATGCACCACACCACACCTTATGAGTGTGTGCGCATCTACGCGCATGCATCACATCACATCGCATCGCATCACACTCACCGCTGCCCTGTGAACTGGTCATGCATGACGGCATGGCGGTGGTTGAAGGTGCCGCGCTCACAATCCTGCCCGCTCAGCCGCACCGCATGGGTGGGGTTGCTGTCAGCCGTCTGATTGAGAGAGGGGTCAAATGGCAGAAGAAGGGAGCTGGATGGGGGGAAAGGGGAAGAAGGGCGGATGGAATTGGGATGGGAAAAGGAAGCATGGGTGGGGTTGCTGTCTGCCGTCTGGTTCAGCGACGGGTCGAATGGCAGAAGAAGCGAGCTGGACGGGGGGCGGGAGTGGATGGGTGGTTGGGTGGGTGGGCGGGTGGGGTGGGGGCAATGGGATCGGAGTAGGAAATGTGCTGGGTTGCTGCAAGGGGATTGGATCAGGCAGATGTTAAAGAATCTAAGCAGGGAGGCGGGACGGAAAAGAGCACGGGCGGCGGGAGGAATAGAAGAGGTGGGGCTGTCGAGGCGACACGGCTTCCCCAGCCTCTGCCTTCCCCAGCCTATGCGTTTCCCAGTCAATGCCTTCCCAGCCTAAGCCTTCCCCAGCCCAGCCTATGCCTTCAACAGTTTCGAAATCTCTCATCAGTGACACACAAGCATACCCGAAGGCAAGAGCCTCTGCCAATGCCATGGCCCAGTCGATGCCTTCCCCAGTTAATGTCTTTCCCAGTCAATGCCTTTCCCAGCCTCGGAATCTCTCAACCGTGACACACAAGCGTACCCGAAGGCAAGAGCCTCTGCCAATGCCATGGCCCAGTCGATGCCTTCCCCAGTTAATGTCTTTCCCAGTCAATGCCTTTCCCAGCCTCGGAATCTCTCGTCAGTGACACACAAGCGTACCCGAAGGCAAGAGCCTCTGCCAATGCCATGGCCCAGTCGATGCCTTCCCCAGTTAATGTCTTTCCCAGTCAATGCCTTTCCCAGCCTCGGAATCTCTCATCAGTGACACACAAGCGTACCCGAAGGCAAGAGCCTCTGCCATGGCCCAGTCGATGCCTTCCCCAGTTGCCATCATTTTGCAGCGATTCTCCAGCAGCAATGCCACCTGGCAGTGCACCCGGGGCGCAGGGGGGGGGGGGGGGGGGGGGGGTGGTTCGAGCAGGGTGAGTAAGGGAGGGTGGGAAGCAGCGGATGAGGAGTATGAGTTTTGAGACGTCCCAAAACACTTCTTCTATCATGGGGGGGTTCGAGCAGGGTGAGTAAGGGAGAGCGTGTTTTTGAGTCGACTAAAAAACAGGTTCTCCAGCAGCAATGCCACCTGGCAGTGCACCCGGGGAAGGGGGTTCGAGCAGGGTGAGTAAGGGAGAGCGTGTTTTTTAGTCGACTCAAAAACAGGTTCTCCAGCAGAAATGCCACCTGTCATGGCAGCGCACCCGGGGGGGAGGAGGAGGGGGGGGGGGTTCGAGGCTCGAGCAGGGTGAGTAAGGGAGAGCGTGTTTTGAGCTGACTGAAAAACAGGTTCTCCAGCAGCGATGCCACCTGGCTGGCAGTTCACTCGGGGGGGTTTGAGCAGGGTGAGTAAGGGAGAGCGGGAAGCAGCGGATGAGGAGGACGAGAAAACAGAGAAGGGCGGGGTATGGGGTAAGCGAGGACGAAGAGGGTGATGCTACGTGGCTGGCAGGTGCACCGGGTGGTGGGATGAGGGCGAGAAAAAGAGGGAAGCATGGACGAGAACGGGGGAGAGAAAAGCAAAGAAGAAAGGGACACGGAGGAAGCAGGGGACAGGGAGGGAGGAGGGAATCAGTCAGTGGTTATGATCTTGCGGCAATCGCCCAAAAAGGATGACGGCAAATAGCACGGGATGATCTTGGTATAAGAAAGAGGAGGCATGACCAAGAGGAGACACTCTGGGTGCATGTTGAAGCCTTCGTGTGAATGATTTCAACTGCTGTGTGAGCAACAGTGATGAATGATGCTGCTGGATATTGGAGGGTTGCTCTGCGTTGCTTGTGCTTATGGTTGCGTTGCTTGTGCTTGCGTTGCTTGTGCTTGCGTTGCTTGTGCTTGCGTTGCTTGTGGTTGCGTTGCTTGTGGTTGTGTTGCTTGTGGTTGTGTTGCTTGTGGTTGCGTTGCTTGTGCTTGCGTTGCTTGTGCTTGCGTTACTTATGGTTGCGTTGCTTGTGGTTGCGTTGCTTGTGGTTGCGTTGCTTGTGGTTGCGTTGCTTGTGGTTGCGTTGCTTGTGGTTGCGTTGCTTGTGGTTGCGTTGCTTGTGGTTGCGTTGCTTGTGGTTGCGTTGCTTGTGGTTGCGTTGCTTGTGCTTGCGTTGCTTGTGCTTGCGTTGCTTGTGCTTGCGTTGCTTGTGGTTGCGTTGCTTGTGGTTGTGTTGCTTATGGTTGTTTAGTTGTGGGTACGGTTCACGACAAGCATGCATGCATGCAGCATGCGCACACAGTGAAAGTGAAGTGTTACTTTTTAAGCTGGTTTCAGAAGAAAGGGTCAGCACAGTACCTGAGGGTGTAAGGTGAAGTCCGGTGGTACAGTGCAGAGCGCATCTCCCTGTAACATGTGGGATGGGAAGGGAACACGTGAGGTCGGTACAACATGGGAACGTGTGTGGTCATGACACGTGAGAACAAGTGAGGCCGTGACTCATAATAGCATTGAGCACATGAAACCGTAGAAAACGCCTGATCCGCCAGGCAGCCCCCAATACCAACTTCTCCATGTTCACCTCTCCCTTGCCATCGCTTCCCCCCTGTTTTCCTCCCCCCTTCCCCCTCCACCATCCTTCCCCTCACCGTCCTTTCCACCTCACCATCTCGCCCTCCCTTCACCATCTCCCCGGTTCCTCACCACGCGTTGCAAGGTCTTCAGGGGAAGGCCAGTGGGCTGCACCTTGCGCTGACTCACCAGCGACCCAAGTGCCTCCCCTGCCATGCCATGAGAATCAGATTGACAAGTCATGAGATGCTACATGGCAGACTGAGAGCACACATATACGCCATGCCATGCTCTGTTCCCTTACCAAGCTGCCTGCGTTTCCACAAACATTCCATCCATCTCAGCATGATAATGCTAGCTGTCGAAACGATTGCAAGCTGTACAGACGAAATGTTGGCAGTACCTTGCCAGTTGGCAGCGAGCCAATCCTGTGGCGACACTTGTTGCTTGCTGGTGTTCTCAAACGCACGCTCAAACTCAGCCTCCACGTCAGCCTGCCAGCTGGCGATCTCCTGATGGGGATGCGGATGGATGGAGGAGATGCAGCATGTGGTGTGCGCAGATGCATCATTTAGATGTGTGTGCATCGACAACGACCTGTGTGTGTATCGACATGCATATGTATGGACGTGCATGCCCACTTGTGCACATGCTATGGTGTGTGCGAGAACAACCGATTCCAATTCATGCACAACCCTGAAGCACCCGCGTCGACACACCGCCGCTCCCATCCACTGTCACCAATCACATCAACAATTACCTCATCACCTCATGCACATCACCTCATGCACATCACCTCATGCACATCACCTCATGCACATCACCTCATGCACATCACCTCATGCACATCACCTCATGCACATCACCTCATGCACATCACCTCATGCACATCACCTCATGCACATCACCTCATGCACATCACCTCATGCACATCACCTCATGCACATCACCTCATGCACATCACCTCATGCACATCACCTCATGCACATCACCTCATGCACATCACCTCATGCACATCACCTCATGCACATCACCTCATGCACATCACCTCATGCACATCACCTCATCGCACATCACCTCATCGCACATCACCTCATCGCACATCACCTCATCGCACATCACCTCATCGCACATCACCTCATCGCACATCACCTCATCGCACATCGTAGAAACCCCATCAAACTCCCCTCTGCTATGACTCCGTCCATACAGCACAGTTGCAGGCAGGACACGTGGCACGTGACTCGTGTGAAAGGCACAACACACACTCCTTGCACTCACCTCCGCCGTAACCACCTCCTCTGCCATGAGCCGTGCAGCGTGGAGCTGAAGGCATGGAAGGTGGGCGTGTACCAGCAGTGCAGCACTCACATCTGCTGTAACCGCCAATAGTGGAGTTACAGATAGGCACGACACGTGGCTCATGTGAATGGCACAACACTTCTGCACTCACCTCCGCTGTAACCACCTCCTCTGCCATGAGCCGTGCGGCATACAGCTGAAGGCATGGCGGGTGGGAGTCTACTAGAGAGTACATCAGGGGTTGTGTTACTCGTGGGTCGTCCTGTAAAGAGAAGAAGGGAGCGGTTGGGAGGAGGGGGGAAGAATCTGTTTATATTGGTGTGCATATGAGAGTACATCAGCGGATACGTCCTGTGGTGGGAAGGAGGGAGTAGGACGGACAGGGGGTAAGAGATAGGGAGCGGATCGAGCGCCCTGCATCGATCGATGCTGCCTTGTCAGGAACGGCGTGTGCGTGTGTGCATACGTGTGTGCGTATATGTTATGTGCAGTGCAGCGTAGCACCTGCGCTGCTCATGCGTATGCTCACATACTCGCACGCTGAAATGCCAACACGTGCAGTCTAGCTAGCATGCCCACCTGCTCGTTGTGCCCATATCGCCTGTAGCACACGAGGTCCACCACTACATCCTTGCCGTCTGCGCCTCCACCCACACACATGCTCCCATGCTTGCACGCACCCATTGCTGGCATCGCAAGTGCACTCTAGAGAAGAAATTCTCACCTGCCCATTGTCCCCATGTCGCCTGTAGCACACGAGGTCCACCACTACATCCTTGCCGAGGGTCTGCCCCCCTTCCACACACATGCACAGCATGCATGCACATGGTCACATGCTCAAAGACTCCCGTGGTCCCATGCTCAACAAACATTCTGGCATGCTCACCTGCTCGTTGTGGCCATGCCTCCTGTAGCACACGAGATCCACCACCACGTCCTTGCCGAATGTCTGCTCTCCATGCACATGCCACATGCCGCACCATGCATGCACATGCACATGCCACATGATGCATCATGTATGTACAACACATGATGCAAGCGCATGGGTAACACAGCAAATTATGCGTGTATGCGATATTGCATACAAGTTGCATGGGCTACATAATAAGTTCACTATTCAAATGGCCCCACATCACATGGCATGTCGCACATGGGAAGGAACTCACGGCAATCGGCAAATGGCATGAATGGAATGGAGTGGGTGGGCAACACACACACTCCTGCAACGGAACACCATGCACCTGGCGCCAGTCAGTCAACACACACTCCTGCAACGGAACACCATGCACCGCGCACCTGGCGCCAGTCGACAGCGAGGGAGCAGATGTGAGCCACTGCCTCGGGATCATCTGCGTTCACATGGAATATGGGCGCCCCCACTGCCTGCAGCACGAGGGGCAGGACGAGGTGGTTAGTTCAATCTGCCTGCCCCCACTGCCTGCAGCAAGAGGGGCAGGACGAGGTGGTTAGTTCAATCTGCCTGCCACCACTGCCTGCAGCAAGAGAGCATGGGACGGAGGGCCTGGTTGGTTCTATTGGAGGCCACAGGTGCTTTAAGATGATCTACGTTCACATGCAACATGGTCTTCGCTCATACTGCTCTTCACAGCCGTGCTTTGAGGTGTATTTTGAGGCGCCTCAAAATACACTTCTATTGGAGGCCACAGCTGCTTTAAGATGATCTACGTTCACATGCAACATGGTCGCCCCCACTGCTCTTCACTGCCGTGCTTTGAGCCGTGTTTTGAGTCGACTCAAAACATGGGCGCCCCCACCCACTGCCTGCAGCAAGGAGGGACAAAAGTTTTGGATGGTTCGATGGCGCCCCTACTGCATGCAACAGAGGTCATACAGAATACCTAGTTAGTTCAACTTTATTATATGATCTGCTGCTGACCTTCCCCTGCCGGCTGACCTACTCGATTCTATGATACGCCCTTACTCAATCGTAAGGTGCAACCCTTTAACTGCCGGCTCACCTTAGCAAAGTCAGAGGGGTGGGGGGAGGAGCGGGCGAGCTTGGGGTCGGTCGGTGGTGAGCCCGATCTGATTGTTGATTATCACGTGGATCGTGCCGCTGGCGCCTTCATATATGTTTCCACACGCACCATGCCTTCATTTCATGACTTGTTTTCCATGTAAGAAAATCAGCAAAAACTCTCTTTTACTACTCGGTTAGCTCTAACCCTGCTTCTCTGCCGCCTCCCCTCCTCACCTTGGCGAAGTCAGAGGGGTGGGGGGAGGAGCGAGCAAGCTTCGGATCAGTGGTGAATCCGATCTGATTGTTGATGATCACGTGGATCGTGCCGCCCGTTGTGTACTCTGGTAGGTCCGACAGCTGCTCCATTAGGGTGAAGAGAGGGGTTTAGAGCGGTTGAGAGGGAGAGAAAGGAAAGGCGGTGGGGTTGTGATAGCTGATTGGTGTCCTTATGCAGTTCGGCATCAAAAGGCGTTTTTTTTTATTCTAAAAAATCTCTGTCGAGGGGGCATACTGGAAAGCATTGATTACAATAATATTGTTTTTGTGTGAAATAAGGGATTGGGTGCTTCCCTGCCTCAACCACCACATCAGGTATTCCCTACCTGCAGAAACTGCCATACTTGCAGCACTGCCATACCTGCAGCACTGCCATACCTGCAGCACTGCCGTGCCTGCAGCACAGGCTCACCTGCAGGTTCGGCCGTACCTGCAGCACCTCAGGAGCGAGGCCAAGGCCACTGAAGGCTGCATCTCCGTGCAGAATGAGACCCTGGCAGGGAGCAAGGGGAGTCATGCATGGTGAGGATGATGCAAGGAGGTGCAGAGGGATGTAAGGAGGTGCAGAGGGATGCAACGAGGTGCATGAAGATGCAATCAAGAAAGGTGAACAAAAGGGTCCTGCTCTCATTCAAAGCCAGGCCAAGGCCAGTCGAGGCAGCACCAAGCGTATGAGAACATAAGGCAGAAGGCAAGGCACAGACCATAATGGATCGCCTGGAGGTAGGGATGAGCAAGGGGCGAACACGAACATGTTCGTGTTCGCCCCTAGACGAACACATCCGTTTGCCGAACCGAACACTGTTCGGTTCGGCGAACACTTTAAGCAAAAACACGTGTTCGCCGTTTGCCTGTGAAGGCATGTTCGGGCGAACATCGAACACGTTAGTGTTCGTCGCGGGGCAAATTGCAGCAGCGGCCCGAACACGAACGTGTTCGGGCGAACATCGAACACTGTTCGGCGAACAATTTAAGCAAAAAAAACAAACGTTCGAGGCGAACCGAACAGGTGTTCGCCCTTGTGCTCATGTCTACCTGGAGGTGTTGTTTGTGAAGAGTTGCTTGGCTCACAAGACAACAGAGCTTGTGGTGACATGGTGACAGAGCCATAAGAGAACACAGTGGGCGTCACGTCACACTGGGAATTTGGCTTCCGGCACAGCACCGCATCTCACCGGATAGCACCGCACAGCACACACCATGACGGAGCGCCTGGAGGAGTCGTTGGTGAAGAGCTGCTTGGCTCTAGCCTTGCCCACCACGACCGGGTCCACCAGCTCCAGATGGCTGGGGTTGGGCAGTAGGGACACTTGCACCTGCGCTGGTGCGAACACGGCAGACAGGGGAGCATGCCATGGAATCATGGCAAGGCAACGTGGAGCAGAGAGTGAGGGTGGAGCATGAGTTGAGTGAATCTGCCTGCCTTGCCCACCACGACCGGGTCTACCAGCTCCAGATGGCTGGGGTTGGGCAGTAGGGACACTTGCACCTGTGCTGGTTAGAGTATGGTGAGACATGGCGAGGTGGAACGGGGAATGAGGAGTTTGAGTTGAGTTTATCCTTTCCTCTAGCCTTCCCCACCACGACCAGGTCCACGAGCTCCAGATGGCTGGGGTTGGGAAGTAGGGACACTTGCACCTGTGCTGGTGAGAGCATGGTGAGACATGGCGGAACAACAAGTTGGAGTGGGCCTTTAATCTGAACCGCCAGTCCCCTTGCTCCAAATGGCTTACATGGTGCAATGATGATCAGAACCAAGGTCAACAGGAAACCAAGGTCAACAGGAAACCAAGGTCAACAGGAAACCAAGGTCAACAGGAAACCAAGGTCAACAGGAAACCAAGGTCAACAGGAAACCAAGGTCAACAGGAAACAAGGTCAACAGGAAACCAAGGTCAACAGGAACCAAGGTCAACAGGAAACCAAGGTCAACAGGAAACCAAGTCAACAGGAAACCAAGGTCAACAGGAAACCAAGGTCAACAGGAAACCAAGGTCAACAGGAAACCAAGGTCAACAGGAAACCAAGGTCAACAGGAAACCAAGGTCAACAGGAAACCAAGGTCAACAGGAAACCAAGGTCAACAGGAAACCAAGGTCAACAGGAAACCAAGGTCAACAGGAAACCAAGGTCAACAGGAAACCAAGGTCAACAGGAAACCAAGGTCAACAGGAAACCAAGGTCAACAGGAAACCAAGGTCAACAGGAAACCAAGGTCAACAGGAAACCAAGGTCAACAGGAAACCAAGGTCAACAGGAAACCAAGGTCAACAGGAAACCAAGGTCAACAGGAAACCAAGGTCAACAGGAAACCAAGGTCAACAGGAAACCAAGGTCAACAGGAAACCAAGGTCAACAGGAAACCAAGGTCAACAGGAAACCAAGGTCAACAGGAAACCAAGGTCAACAGGAAACCAAGGTCAACAGGAAACCAAGGTCAACAGGAAACCAAGGTCAACAGGAAACCAAGGTCAACAGGAAACCAAGGTCAACAGGAAACCAAGGTCAACAGGAAACCAAGGTCAACAGGAAACCAAGGTCAACAGGAAACCAAGGTCAACAGGAAACCAAGGTCAACAGGAAACCAAGGTCAACAGGAAACCAAGGTCAACAGGAAACCAAGGTCAACAGGAAACCAAGGTCAACAGGAAACCAAGGTCAACAGGAAACCAAGGTCAACAGGAAACCAAGGTCAACAGGAAACCAAGGTCAACAGGAACCAAGGTCAACAGGAAACCAAGGTCAACAGGAAACCAAGGTCAACAGGAAACCAAGGTCAACAGGAAACCAAGGTCAACAGGAACCAAGGTCAACAGGAAACCAAGTCAACAGGAAACCAAGGTCAACAGGAAACCAAGGTCAACAGGAAACCAAGGTCAACAGGAACCAAGGTCAACAGGAAACCAAGGTCAACAGGAAACCAAGGTCAACAGGAAACCAAGGTCAAACAGGAAACCAAGGTCAACAGGAAACCAAGGTCAACAGGAAACCAAGGTCAACAGGAAACCAAGGTCAAACAGGAAACCAAGGTCGACAGGAAACCAAGGTCCAACAGGAAACCAGGTCAACAGGAAACCAAGGTCAACAGGAAAACCAAGGTCAACAGGAAACCAAGGTCAACAGGAAACCAAGGTCAACAGGAAACCAAGGTCAACAGGAAACCAAGGTCAACAGGAAACCAAGGTCAACAGGAAACCAGGTCAACAGGAAACCAAGGTCAACAGGAAACCAAGGTCAACAGGAAACCAAGGTCAACAGGAAACCAAGGTCAACAGGAAACCAAGGTCAACAGGAAACCAAGGTCAACAGGAAACCAAGGTCAACAGGAAACCAAGGTCAACAGGAAACCAAGGTCAACAGGAAACCAAGGTCAACAGGAAACCAAGGTCAACAGGAAACCAAGGTCAACAGGAAACCAAGGTCAACAGGAAACCAAGGTCAACAGGAAACCAAGGTCAACAGGAAACCAAGGTCAACAGGAAACCAAGGTCAACAGGAAACCAAGGTCAACAGGAAACCAAGGTCAACAGGAAACCAAGGTCAACAGGAAACCAAGGTCAACAGGAAACCAAGGTCAACAGGAAACCAAGGTCAACAGGAAACCAAGGTCAACAGGAAACCAAGGTCAACAGGAAACCAAGGTCAACAGGAAACCAAGGTCAACAGGAAACCAAGGTCAACAGGAAACCAAGGTCAACAGGAAACCAAGGTCAACAGGAAACCAAGGTCAACAGGAAACCAAGGTCAACAGGAAACCAAGGTCAACAGGAAACCAAGGTCAACAGGAAACCAAGGTCAACAGGAAACCAAGGTCAACAGGAAACCAAGGTCAACAGGAAACCAAGGTCAACAGGAAACCAAGGTCAACAGGAAACCAAGGTCAACAGGAAACCAAGGTCAACAGGAAACCAAGGTCAACAGGAAACCAAGGTCAACAGGAAACCAAGGTCAACAGGAAACCAAGGTCAACAGGAAACCAAGGTCAACAGGAAACCAAGGTCAACAGGAAACCCAAGGTCAACAGGAAACCAAGGTCAACAGGAACCAAGGTCAACAGGAAACCAAGGTCAACAGGAAACCAAGGTCAACAGGAAACCAAGGTCAACAGGAAACCAAGGTCAACAGGAAACCAAGGTCAACAGGAAACCAAGGTCAACAGGAAACCAAGGTCAACAGGAAACCAAGGTCAACAGGAAACCAAGGTCAACAGGAAACCAAGGTCAACAGGAAACCAAGGTCAACAGGAAACCCAAGGTCAACAGGAAACCAAGGTCAACAGGAAACCAAGGTCAACAGGAAACCAAGGTCAACAGGAAACCAAGGTCAACAGGAAACCAAGGTCAACAGGAAACCAAGGTCAACAGGAAACCAAGGTCAACAGGAAACAAGGTCAACAGGAAACCAAGGTCAACAGGAAACCAAGGTCAACAGGAAACCAAGGTCAACAGGAAACCAAGGTCAACAGGAAACCAAGGTCAACAGGAAACCAAGGTCAACAGGAAACCAAGGTCAACAGGAAACCAAGGTCAACAGGAAACCAAGGTCAACAGGAAACCAAGGTCAACAGGAAACCAAGGTCAACAGGAAACCAAGGTCAACAGGAAACCAAGGTCAACAGGAAACCAAGGTCAACAGGAAACCAAGGTCAACAGGAAACCAAGGTCAACAGGAAACCAAGGTCAACAGGAAACCAAGGTCAACAGGAAACCAAGGTCAACAGGAAACCAAGGTCAACAGGAAACCAAGGTCAACAGGAAACCAAGGTCAACAGGAAACCAAGGTCAACAGGAAACCAAGGTCAACAGGAAACCAAGGTCAACAGGAAACCAAGGTCAACAGGAAACCAAGGTCAACAGGAAACCAAGGTCAACAGGAAACCAAGGTCAACAGGAAACCAAGGTCAACAGGAAACCAAGGTCAACAGGAAACCAAGGTCAACAGGAAACCAAGGTCAACAGGAAACCAAGGTCAACAGGAAACCAAGGTCAACAGGAAACCAAGGTCAACAGGAAACCAAGGTCAACAGGAAACCAAGGTCAACAGGAAACCAAGGTCAACAGGAAACCAAGGTCAACAGGAAACCAAGGTCAACAGGAAACCAAGGTCAACAGGGAAACCAAGGTCAACAGGAAACCAAGGTCAACAGGAAACCAAGGTCAACAGGAAACCAAGGTCAACAGGAAACCAAGGTCAACAGGAAACCAAGGTCAACAGGAAACCAAGGTCAACAGGAAACCAAGGTCAACAGGAAACCAAGGTCAACAGGAGGAACCAAGGTCAACAGGAAACCAAGGTCAACAGGAAACCAAGGTCAACAGGAAACCAAGGTCAACAGGAAACCAAGGTCAACAGGAAACCAAGGTCAACAGGAAACCAAGGTCAACAGGAAACCAAGGTCAACAGGAAACCAAGGTCAACAGGAAACCAAGGTCAACAGGAAACAAGGTCAACAGGAAACCAAGGTCAACAGGAAACCAAGGTCAACAGGAAACCAAGGTCACCAGGAAACCAAGGTCAACAGGAAACCAAGGTCAACAGGAAACCAAGGTCAACAGGAAACCAAGGTCAACAGGAAACCAAGGTCAACAGGAAACCAAGGTCAACAGGAAACCAAGGTCAACAGGAAACCAAGGTCAACAGGAAACCAAGGTCAACAGGAAACCAAGGTCAACAGGAAACCAAGGTCAACAGGAAACCAAGGTCAACAGGAAACCAAGGTCAACAGGAAACCAAGGTCAACAGGAAACCAAGGTCAACAGGAAACCAAGGTCAACAGGAAACCAAGGTCAACAGGAAACCAAGGTCAACAGGAAACCAAGGTCAACAGGAAACCAAGGTCAACAGGAAACCAAGGTCAACAGGAAACCAAGGTCAACAGGAAACCAAGGTCAACAGGAAACCAAGGTCAACAGGAAACCAAGGTCAACAGGAAACCAAGGTCAACAGGAAACCAAGGTCAACAGGAAACCAAGGTCAACAGGAAACCAAGGTCAAACAGGAAACCAAGGTCAACAGGAAACCAAGGTCAACAGGAAACCAAGGTCAACAGGAAACCAAGGTCAACAGGAACCAAGGTCAACAGGAAACCAAGGTCAACAGGAAACCAAGGTCAACAGGAAACCAAGGTCAACAGGAAACCAAGGTCAACAGGAAACCAAGGTCAACAGGAAACCAAGGTCAACAGGAAACCAAGGTCAACAGGAAACCAAGGTCAACAGGAAACCAAGGTCAACAGGAAACCAAGGTCAACAGGAAACCAAGGTCAACAGGAAACCAAGGTCAACAGGAAACCAAGGTCAACAGGAAACCAAGGTCAACAGGAAACCAAGGTCAACAGGAAACCAAGGTCAACAGGAAACCAAGGTCGACAGGAAACCAAGGTCAACAGGAAACCAAGGTCAACAGGAAACCAAGGTCAACAGGAAACCAAGGTCAACAGGAAACCAAGGTCAACAGGAAACCAAGGTCAACAGGAAACCAAGGTCAACAGGAAACCAAGGTCAACAGGAAACCAAGGTCAACAGGAAACCAAGGTCGACAGGAAACCAAGGTCGACAGGAAACCAAGGTCGACAGGAGACCAAGGGGGAACACCGGGACACAGCACATGCGAGCGTGCAACAGGGGTGCTAGAAGAGTGAGAAATTCGAGGCAGATGGAGAGCAGAGGCGACAGGTTAGGGAGCAAGGGCAAGAGTCAGAGGAGTATGTTTCGTGCTGTGCTGTGGTGTCCTGTACTGTGCTGTGCTGTGCTGTGCTGTGCTGTGCTGTGCTGTGCTGTGCTGTGCTGTGCTGTGTTGCGCTGCACTGTGGTGTGGTGTGGTGTGGTGGGGGGAGGAAGGGGGGAAAGGCCGTGAGGGCATCTGGCTTCAGAGAAACTGTACTCACCTGGTTGCTTTCAAACTCGAGTGTAGAACGGGTACCCTGCCATGTGATGTGATGCGATGCGATGCGGTGGGATGCGATGCGATGCGATGTGATGTGATGTGATGTGATGTGATGCGATGTGATGTGATGTGATGTGATTCGATGTGATGTGAAGTGATGTGATGTGATGCCGCAGAATGCATATGCAAGAAACACCATGGCATGATAACAATGTCATGCGGGACAATGCCATGCCATGTCAGACAATGCAGTTTCACATAATGCCAATGCACACAAAGCCATTTTCCACAATGCCGCATCACACAAGCAAAGTGTAAGGAAACTATGAAGAACGGCAAACACAATGTTGCATGCCAGCTTATGCAGATGTGATTGGACGAGGTGCAAAGGAAAAAGAAAGGCAACAAAAAAACAAAAAACAAAAAACAAACAAAACAAAACAAAACCAGAAGACAAGAAATGGGTGGCAAGCACCTGGAGGCGCATACCAGGTGGTACTTGACGTCGCCCACTTGCAGCAGCTCCGAGAGTTCAGGTGAAACCTCAGGTGGTTTGAACTCAGACAAGATGGAGGTCAGGGGCTTTCCCAGGACCGCGTGCAGCACACTCAGTCGACCTCTTTTGGAATGTGGGTGGGTGGAAGTAGAAGGGGGCGAAGGGGGGAAGTGGGGAAAGCGGGGAGGGGGAAGGTGAAGGACAAGGGGAGTGAGTGAGTGAGGGCAGGGCTGGGTACGGCACGAGTAGACTGGATCACTGGGTCTCCAAGATTTTCTTCAACATCTCAAAAAACGCTTACAGCATGGCAGTTTGTTGGAGATCATACATACATATGGTCATTGCATGCGTGGGGAAGGGGGGAAAGTCAACAAGGGAGAATCGCATGAGCCATGACTGCCTGATGCAGCCCACCGATACCATGTAGTGATGGCTCCGATACATCCTCCCCGCGACCCAATTACCTCTACACTTCCCTCCCATGGAACCCTTCCCCCTCCTCCTCCCCCAATGCCACGTGCCCCACACACCTATGCGCCATACCCACTTGAGCGCCCCACCCACCTGTGAGCCCCACCCACCTGTGCGCCCCACCTAGGGATGAGCAAGGGGCGAACACGAACATGTTCGTGTTCGCCCCTAGACGAACACATCCGTTTGCCGAACCGAACACTGTTCGGTTCGGCGAACACTTTAAGCAAAAACACGTGTTCGCCGTTCGCCTGTGAAGGCATGTTCGGGCGAACATCGAACACGTTCGTGTTCGTCGCGGGGCAAATTGCAGCAGCGGCCCGAACACGAACGTGTTCGGGCGAACATCGAACACTGTTCGGCGAACAATTTAAGCAAAAAAAACAAACCTGTTCGGTTCGCCTCGAACAGGTGTTCGCCCTTGTGCTCATGTCTAGCCCCACCCCACCCACCTGTGCGCCATGCCCAGCTCGACAAACTTCACGCCGCTGCCAGCAGCCCGCCCCAGCAGAGCCAGCAGCCCCGGCACCAGCGCCTCCCCGCCCTCTATGCCAAACCGCTTCACTGAAGGAAACTTGCGCGCGAGAAACCGCTCAAAGGCGTCTGTGTGGAAAGGGGAGCAGGGGTGGGCGTAGATGGGCAGGGGTGGGCGTAGATGGGCAGGGGTGGGCGTAGATGGGCAGGGGTGGGGTGGGAGGGCAGGGGGGGTTTGGGGGTCGGTGGGCAGGGATGGATGGGGGTGGGAAGGCATGAGCGGGGGTGGATGGGGAGAAGATAGGGTAAGGAGGATGTGATACAGGACGTGGTGGGAGCGGGATCACTGCCTGCCCGTTCTCGATGCCAAACCGATGCCAAACCGATGCCAAACCGATGCCAAACCGATGCCAAACCGATGCCAAACCGATGCCTTACGAAAAGAAATCTCTTCCCACCTCACCTCTCACCCAACCACCCCAGTGCTTGCTCACCCGCAAGCCGCACTACTCACCGGCATACAGCAGGCGGTGCAGCAGGTGGCGCTGCTGGGTTGGTGAGAAGAGTTGGCGCAAGGGAGGCCGTTCCATGGCAGCCTGCACCCACCGCTTCTGCTGCCTGCTCGCCAGGTGCGCGCACTCCACTGTGCTCGTGCGGCAGTACGCGTTGCGCAGCAGCCCCACCACCTCCTCCACCGTCCAGAACAGCTGCGCTGCCCTCACGATGCGCAGCTGCTCTCCCAGGAAATACCTGCCATGGATGGGTCGGTCGGGAGCAAGGGGGAAGAGAAACAGGGCGATGAGAACAGCTGTGCCGCCCGCACGATCCTCAGATTGCATGCTGAGAATGATGCCATTTCATGGGCATGTTGCTTCCAATATATGTACCCATGCAGCAGCAGGCCTATAATTTGTGTTGCACATGTTACTCCTAAAGATATGCTCTTTCTTAGAGCGCTCTCGAATCCTTATGGCACATTGGGTACCGTACCTCTTTTTCACATCAATGCCTGCCAGACCAACAGCGCCGAGGTCCAGCTCCGGGTAGTTCCGAAGCAGGCGAAACAGGTCCGGCGCGTTCTCAGGTTCGGGCAGAGACGAGACGCCACTGCCGCCACCAGCACTGGTGCCCTTCCTGCCAGCACCTGTGACCTGCGATATCCTGCTCAGCCCAGCTAACGCCCACGCCTTGCCCTTGCTGCCTGGGGTAGTGAACGAGGAATTGTCAGCAGCTGCCGCAGCTGCAGCCGCAGCCGCAGCGGGCGGCTGGGCGTTGTCCTTGAGGGGGCCTAAGTGACGGCCCAAAGGGTCTGCCAGGGGTCCGTGGATTGGCATATGGGGGTGTGGGAGGTGAGCGTGAGAGAATGGACATGCATGGTAGAAGGAGGAATTTTGAAAAGGGGAGAAAATGGGCCAGTCTTGCTTGACAGGAGGCAAATAGGTGGGTATGGCCAGTAATGAAGTGTTCCCATTGTTTCATCTGTTCCCGCTCGTTCGTACCTAGCTGTGCTACGTAGTGGCCTCTGTCTCTGAACGCCTTAACGAGTGACACTATAGCGAGCGTCTCCGACACCTCCTGCAAGTCTGTGTCACTCGACACCCCGCGAGCTCCGCCATGACGCGCGAACGTGCTCGCGAAAGGGCTCGCGAAGGCACTGGCGAAAGAACCTGCGAAGGTACTGACGAAGGGATTGACGAATGAGCTGGCAACTAGCACAGTCGCTGCAGGTGCTACCTTTCGCTCCCAAGGCACCCCCTCACATGGCCGGTAGCTGGCCGGCTGGCTGACGGCAGCCGACAGACGAGGCTGGTCGAAGTTACCGGCGGCGAAACGGCGCGACCGGCCATTCTGACGGACGATCCTGCTCGCAATACGAGCGCAAACATTGCGGTGGGTTGAGAGAGCGGATAGAAGGCTCGCGTGAACGGGTGAGGAAGAGGAAGCGTGCGTGGAATTTGCCGAGCAGGAAATAGCTTGGATGGTTCGCGTGTGTAGCCCACGGTCAGTCCTGCCAGCTGTAGGAGGCTCTGTGGCTGCCTGCTGTCGCGACGCGCAGCTGTAGCGGGCTCGGAGGGCACGACAGATTTCGTGCGGGCCTCGTCGGCCAGCCCTGCCGTGCGATAGGTGCGACATGGCGCTGTGCGACCTTAACCGTGCGATGTCATCTCACGAGGACGCGGCATTGTCGGCGGGAGCCTTCACGCAGCAAAAGACCACGGCCGATTATGCCTAACAGCAGCAATATGTGAGGTTGGCCTGATTACTAATGTAGCACTTGGTAACATCAGAGGGGCGTGAATTGTGAAGGCATGGGGCTCGGCACGCAAGTGAACGGCCCCCAGAGTGAAACGCGCGCAGGTGTGTCATAAAAAGTGTGTGTACCATGTAAGCTGGTGACGAATGAGCCGTTCTGGATTCAGCATCGTACTCTGTTCTCGACTAACCTGACAGAAAGTGAACTTTCATGACACAGGCTCGGCTGTTACGAAACGGAACGATTTCAGTTCACCTCGGTCTGTTAAGGCCCAATACCTGAATTACAAAAAAAAAAAAAAAAAAAAAAGGCAAACTGTGCACAGTTTGCTTCCCGAGCCCACAGTTGACTTCCCGAGCCTCTCTGGTTACCAAAAGACACCCCGCAAAAAAAAGCAGGGAGTCGTACAGCAGCACAGGTTTGGTTGGCGAGAGTCCCAACCGCTCCCTCCCCAAGGGAATACGGCTGGGCTGTTGACAGTTTGAACATAGCTGTAATACAGGTCATGCTAGGACACTATCGCTGGCTCGTCATCATCGAAATCAGCGCCACTCACATTCGTAAGGCGCCTCCGATTTCTCTCGAGTGAACGCCCACGCCCTGTCTACAGGTATGCTTTATGCTTAAAACCAGGGTGCACATTCAACGCGGTTCGGCTTGAGATGTTGGGAAGGGGGTTTGGAGAAAAACAGTGATTGGCTCACGAGGGGCGACAAAAAAATGATTCCGCTAGAGCTTCGGGCATTTCGTAGGTGGCGGGAGGGGGTGAAATGGCGGGAGTGGGTGAAACCGAATGGCGGGAGGGATGAAACAGATTGGCGGGAGGGGGGGGAAACGAAATTGCGGGGGAGGGGGGAAACAAAATTGCGGGGGAGGGGGGAAACGAATTTCGACGGGGAGGGGGAAATGAAATTGCGGGGGCGTGGGGAAACGAAATTGCGGGGGAGGGGGGAAACGAATTTCGACTTGAAGGGGTTGAAAGCACACCTCGTAACCCACTCAGTCAAGGGATAACCTTTGATGCACATTCAGCTGAATGTGCACCCCGGTTTTAATACTCAGCGTGCTATCTCAAACTGTGCACACTTTGTGCACACTTTGGCATGCACCCCACCCAAAATGAGAAGCGAGAAACTTTTGTCGCAAATTGGTTTCGCGAGTGAAAGTGTCTCGCAATCCAACCAAACCTCTGTGTGCCTGCCTTCCGAACCTAGTTTTTAGTGCTGACTTCCACTGAGCAATTCAGGTCTTGGGGTTCATTGAAAAAAAGTTGGCCGCTCAGTCGAGAGCCGTTGCTTCCGTCAATCCCGAGGCCAAACACGTCATAATGCCATTGCCAGCTCCGTGACGTGGCAAAAGGTACAGATGTACCTCGCGCTGAATTTCATGACATTCCATCCGAACCCCACACAAAGCACTGTTCGCTATTGCCCCCTTCACTATCATGTTACTCCAAATTAGGAAGTTCTAGATAGGGTTATTGTGTGCATTGAGAACTTCATGTTACAAATCGGTAACTCCTTTCGCCTAAAGCTGAGTCCAGGGCAATAAGCACATCAGAGCACCAAAAAGAGTCGCTTACGATTTCAGCAAGCCATGGCAGTCAGCTTTAGTAGTCAGCAGGCGGTATCTATTAGGACACTCGAAGTTTCCTCGCTTGGCCCATGTTACCGCACTTCTTCGCAATGCTTCGTTAGTCTTGCGTCACGCAATCTCGCGTCCAGGTTCAGCGAATCCCGCGTGTCTGTTTCAGTGCCGTCGCCCAGCTCGGCTCCCACCTCTTCCGCCACCCCCGTTCCGCCTGCGCCAGACTTGCTCCGCCTCCGCGGAGCCACGCGCGCAGCTTCTGGCGCGCAATCCGCGCAAAGTAGAAGCGGAAGACACGCGGAAGCTTTTGATTCAGGAGTGAAGGATGGACGGGACGAGCGGAGGGGACGGGGAATGGCGAAAGAGCGTAGCGGCGCTGCTGACATGGGCTCTTCAGATAGGCTGTTATTGGATCAGCAGCAGCAGCGATGGGCTGACGTGGCAGCTGACATGGACTTCCTGACTAGGACGGTTCGGCTAGTGCAGGTACAACCAGCGGCATGAACCCCCTTAGAAGCGGATAAATATCCACAGGTTTCTGACTTCTACTTTTGAGGCGCCTCAAAAACACAAACCCCCTTAGAAGCGGATAAATATCCACATGTTTCTGACTTCTAGGAAGCCGGTGTAGCAGAAGTGGGGATGCTCGAGGGGGATTGGATGCTCGAGGGGGAGAGGTGGGGAAGAAGGGGGGAGCAAGGCAGGGGGGGGCGGAGGGGATAAGTGTTTGCATGGAGGGGGGATTTAGAACTTAGGATCTGTGAATGTTGGAGCGTCAAGTGATTCCCGCATGCCGCACGGATTTCTTTGTACTTCCGCCTATAAGCACTCAAAGCCAAAACCTCGAACCTTTTACCTTATTTCTTAAACCCTGTACTTCTGACCTGAGACCTGAAACCCTATACCCTGTAGTCGCCATTAGGAACGCGAGGTTTAGGACTCTGTCGTAAAATTCATCGGTACGCTCCTTCCTCTACGAAGCTTCGTGCACCTCTATGTTCATGCGGGTGTGAATGCCAATACCCAAACCAACCGCATGCCACCATGCTTTCCCTGCTTCCTCCCCCCTCTCCACCTGCGTCTCCTGCCGTATTGCCTCCCGTCTGGCTTTCTCCCGCCAGATCACTTCTGCCTCGGGGTTTTCCCCCTCTTTGTGCTCTTCCCGCCCCGCTGCTCTCGCCTCCGTGTCATTCCCCAGTCATATTGGTGCGACTTTTGAGAATTCTCAAAAGCCAGATCACTTTTGCCTCGGGATTTCCCCGCTCTTTGTGCTCTCCCAGCCCTGCTGCTCTCGCCTCCGTGTCGTTCCCCAGTCCCCTTCCCCCATACCTGCCCCTCCCTTTAGTTACGCCTCCCGTCCTTCCCCCCCCCTTCCCCCATTTACCCACCCACACTTCCCCCCGTTCTTCCCTCTCCATGCCCCCACACCCCATGGCAGCGGTACCCGGGGCACGTATCCATGACAGAGAAGGGCCTTATCCACCATTCTAAGACCCCCGCAGCCCACCTGTCCGTTACTGACAGCATGGCGTATTAGGACCTTTTCCATTCCTCTCATCTCCCCCCACTCCCCCTCCGTAACCCACCCCGGCCCCCCTCCCTCCCCTCCCCGTGGCAGCGGTATCCAGGGCATATAGTCAAGGCGGAGAGGGAACTGAAATGACTTCAAGTCGCTTATGGAACAACGTTACGGATGCCTCAAGTTGTTCCCTGCGTGACCCAACCCCTCCGCCCTCCCACCCTTCCGCCTCCATACCATCACATCCCGTTGCAGTGATACCCGGGGCACATAGCCAAGGCGGAGAGGGACCTGAAGCGATTTCTGAGACACTCAGAACTTGTTCCCTTAGCGTGCCAATCCCCTTTCACCCCTCCATACTCTCCCCTCCCTCCCCCCCCCATGGCAGTGGTACCCAGGGCACATAGCCAAGGCGGAGAGGGACCTGAAGGAGCAGTTGCGGTGGGTTGACGTGGTGATTGAAGTGCGCGACGCCAGAATACCGCTCGCCTCCACGCACCCGCAGGTGAGTTGGCGTGGTTGCTGTGTTTCATCGCACTGTCGCACCACACACACGATCTCATGGCTTTAACTGACAGCAGCTGCGGTGGGTGGACGTGGTGATTGAGGTGCGCGACGCCAGAATACCGCTCGCCTCCACGCACCCGCAGTTGAGCTGGCGTGGTTGTGGTGCCCTGCTCTAGCACACCCCAACCTCATTGTCACAAGTAGCAGCAGCAGCTGCGGTGGGTGGACGTGGTGATAGAGGTGCGCGACGCTAGAATACCGCTCGCCACCACACACCCGCAGGTGAGCTGGCGTGACTCGTGGTTGCTGTGTTTTACATTCACTGCACCACGTAACCTCATGGTTACAACTGGCTGCAGCTGCGGTGGGTGCACGTGGTGATTGAAGTGCGGGATGCCACAAGCCACCACGTTAGAATGACGTTAGAATGCCACAAGCCACCACGCACCCCCAGGTGTGCGTCTTTTTCTGAGGCCTTATGAGGCACCTGCTCAGGTGAGTTGGCGTGGTTTCCGCGTGCGACAACACACCACAATGTCACGGTCACAAGTAGCACGTTCTCTGAACCAATTGTAATCTACTACGATTAATAGCACAAGTACCGATTAATACTACTACGCTTACCTACACGTGTTCTCACCTAGTACTCAGTGTTTTTAGTACCTCTCGGATTAGTCAGGTCGGTCGAACTGAGCTTGCAGCTTTCTACCCGTTTTCTTAGTTTGAGAGCAATGTCACGGTCACAAGTAGCAGCAGCAGCTGCGGTGGGTGCACGTGGTGATTCAAGTGCGGGACGCTGGAACACTGCAAGCAAGCCACCATGCACCCGCACCGCAGGTTAGTCTGTTTCTGAAGCGGGCTTCCTACTCGCTAGCACGCACGCACGCGCGCACCCTCAGGTGAGTCTGTTGCTGAAGCCTTATCAACTGGCGACCATGCAGGCACCCCCAGCCCAGGTGAGTTGGCGTGGTGACCTGACCAGTAGCAGCAACTGCGGTGAATGACCAGGGACATGGTGACAGCGGGGGACGGGCGGGCGTGGGCGGAGTACTATGGGAGAAAGACTCTTATTCCCCATTCTCCCCGTAACCCCCATTCGCTGTAGATTGTTTGCAGCTGGACGACTGGATCAGCAATCCCAAGGTGCTGGTGCTGAACTGCTTTTGGGGAATTCTCGAAAAAGCAGATTCAGAATTTTCAAAAAAACAGGTTCAGAATTCTCAAAAAAACAGATTCAGCCCAAGGTGCTGGTGTTGAACTGCGGGGACATGGCGACAGCAGCAGGAGAGGGGTAGGCGGGCGTGGGCGGAGTAGTGCCATCCCATGGGGGGCAGACCAGACCCTTTCTTCTCACTCCTGCCCCTTCCTTCCATCGCCTGAATATGATTGCAGCTGGACGAGTGGATAGGCGGCAAGCCCAATGTGCTGGTGTTGAACCGCGAGGACATGGTGACAGCGGGGGACAGAAAGGCGTGGGCAAAGTACTACGGAGGTTGGACTCCTTATCCCAATCCTCCTTTTTCTCCCATCACCTGAATGTGATTGCAGCTGGACGAGTGGATAGGCGGCAAGCCCAAGGTGCTGGTGTTGAACCGCGAGGACATGGTGACAGCAGGGGACAGAAAGGCGTGGGCGGAGTACTATGGAGGGCAGCAAGATGTTGCTGGCTTCTGCTTCACTGACGGGCAGCATGGGTCGGTATGTGGCATGGGTTGTGCATGGGTCGGTATGTGGCATGGGTTGTGCATGGGTCGGTATGTGCCATGGCATTGCATGGCAGTATGTGGCATGGGAGGGTATCGCATGGGGGGAGCGTGGGCGGAGTACTACGAGGGACAGCAGGATGTCGCTGACTTTTGCTTCACTAACGGGCAGCATGGGTCGGTATGTGCCATGGCATGGCGTGGCATGGCATGGCATGGCATGGCATGGCGTGGCATGGCATGGCGTGGCATGGCATGGCATGGCGTGGCATGGCATGGCATGGCGTGGCATGGCATGGCATGGCGTGGCATGGCATGGCATGGCGTGGCATGGCATGGCATGGCGTGGCATGGCATGGCATGGCGTGGCATGGCATGGCATGGCGTGGCATGGCATGGCATGGCGTGGCAGGGCATGGCAGGGCATGGATGGCAGGGCATGGCATGGCATGGCGTGGCATGGCATGGCGTGGCATGGCATGGCGTGGCATGGCATGGCATGGCATGGCATGGCATGGCGTGGCATGGCATGGCATGGCGTGGCATGGCATGGCATGGCGTGGCATGGCATGGCGTGGCGTGGCATGGCATGGCGTGGCATGGCATGGCATGGCGTGGCATGGCATGGCATGGCGTGGCATGGCATGGCATGGCGTGGCATGGCATGGCATGGCGTGGCATGGCATGGCATGGCGTGGCATGGCATGGCATGGCGTGGCATGGCATGGCATGGCGTGGCATGGCATGGCATGGCGTGGCATGGCATGGCATGGCGTGGCATGGCATGGCATGGCGTGGCATGGCATGGCATGGCGTGGCAGGGCATGGCAGGGCATGGATGGCAGGGCATGGATGGCAGGGCATGGATGGCAGGGCATGGATGGCAGGGCATGGATGGCAGGGCATGGATGGCAGGGCATGGATGGCAGGGCATGGATGGCAGGGCATGGATGGCAGGGCATGGATGGCAGGGCATGGATGGCAGGGCATGGATGGCAGGGCATGGATGGCAGGGCATGGATGGCAGGGCATGGATGGCAGGGCATGGATGGCAGGGCATGGATGGCAGGGCATGGATGGCAGGGCATGGATGGCAGGGCATGGATGGCAGGGCATGGATGGCAGGGCATGGATGGCAGGGCATGGATGGCAGGGCATGGATGGCAGGGCATGGATGGCAGGGCATGGATGGCAGGGCATGGATGGCAGGGCATGGATGGCAGGGCATGGATGGCAGGGCATGGATGGCAGGGCATGGATGGCAGGGCATGGATGGCAGGGCATGGATGGCAGGGCATGGATGGCAGGGCATGGATGGCAGGGCATGGATGGCAGGGCATGGATGGCAGGGCATGGATGGCAGGGCATGGATGGCAGGGCATGGATGGCAGGGCATGGATGGCAGGGCATGGATGGCAGGGCATGGATGGCAGGGCATGGATGGCAGGGCATGGATGGCAGGGCATGGATGGCAGGGCATGGATGGCAGGGCATGGATGGCAGGGCATGGATGGCAGGGCATGGATGGCAGGGCATGGATGGCAGGGCATGGATGGCAGGGCATGGATGGCAGGGCATGGATGGCAGGGCATGGATGGCAGGGCATGGATGGCAGGGCATGGATGGCAGGGCATGGATGGCAGGGCATGGATGGCAGGGCATGGATGGCAGGGCATGGATGGCAGGGCATGGATGGCAGGGCATGGATGGCAGGGCATGGATGGCAGGGCATGGATGGCAGGGCATGGATGGCAGGGCATGGATGGCAGGGCATGGATGGCAGGGCATGGCAGGCCCACCCACAGCCGACCTGCTCTCGTCTGCAGCAGTCACCCACCTGAACGCTGTGTTTCTCCCTAGTTACTTCTTGAGACTTCCTAAAAAGGTAAAATCAACCCCAAAAAAAAGGCACTTTTTTCATGAACCAAGTGGCCCGTTATGGCATCTATCCCCCCTCCCCCACCTCATCCCAGGCGGTAGCCTTCCCCTTTCCCCTCATTCCTGAATTATTCTTTCTCCCCTCCTCTCCCTTCCCATTATGGATCCTTGTCCTCTCTCCCTCCCTCCCACCCCCTCCAGGGCATTCTGAAGTTCACTCGCCAGGCCATGAGCGTCACGAATGAGCAGGCCTTTCATCATTCGTGTACCACCTTTTGTTTTCTCATTCGTGTACCACCTTTTCCCTTCCTCCCACCCCCTCCCACCCCCTCCCACCCCCTCTCACCCCCTCCCTCCCCACCCCTCCTCCAGGGCGTCCTGAAGCTCACTCGCCAGGCCATGAGCGTCAGCAAGGCCATCAACACTCGGAGAAGAGACAAAGGACTCCGCCCGCGCGCGGTAAGGCTTGTCGTGTCTTGCAACTCCTGTGATGGCACCGCCGTTCCTTTTGAGAAGAGCATTGGATCAGCAGTGTACAGCCCGTTGTGCCTTTTGAACCGCCTAACTGATTCTCGTTGAGGCTTCGTCAGAAAATGATAACTGCAACCTAACCCTTCACAGTTCCAGTTGGCAGCTATGACATTCTTGTGTTCAATGTTCCCGTAGCTACGACACACAAACAGACTTTGAGGCGCCTCAAGATTCATAGTGGGAGTAGCAGCGAACTTATGAGAAAACGCTTAGCAAAAGGATCAAGACTTGTGATACTTGTGTTCAATGTTCCCGTAGCTACGACACACTTTTGAGGCGCCTCAAAAGTTCCTCACGTAGGTACGACACACAAACAGTGACCTGATAAAACCACACAAACAGTGACCTGATAAAACCACACAAACAGTGACCTGATAAAACCACACAAACAGTGACCTGATAAAACCACACAAACAGTGACCTGATAAAACCACACAAACAGTGACCTGACAAAACCACACAAACAGTGACCTGATAAAACCACACAAACAGTGACCTGATAAAACCACACAAAGCCCCCACCCCAGTTACGGTATACTCTGCTGCTACTCTCAAGCAGCACTCTCACGTTGTGGGGGGGGCGGTCTGCCTGGGCTGTGCATGACTCTGTATGTTCTGTGTGTTTTGTGTGTTCTGTGTGTTCTGTGTGTTTTGTGTGTTCTGTGTGTTCTGTGTGTTTTGTGTGTTGTGTGTTTTATGTGTTCTATGTGTTTTGTGTGTTCTGTGTGTTTTGTGTGTTCTGTGTGTTCTGTGTGTTTTGTGTGTTCTGTGTGTTTTGTGTGTTCTGTGTGTTGTGTTCTGTGTGTTTTGTGTGTTCTGTGTGTTTTATGTGTTCTATGTGTTTTGTGTGTTCTGTGTGTTTTGTGTGTTCTGTGTGTTCTGTGTGTTTTGTGTGTTCTGTGTGTTTTATGTGTTCTATGTGTTCTGTGTGTTCTGTGTGTTTTGTGTGTTCTGTGTGTTTTGTGTGTTCTGTGTGTTCTGTGTGTTACCCATGCTGTCATCACTGCTTCCCCAATGCTTCAAGTTTTTCCTCGTGAGAAAAATGAGGGTTTCTGTTCCTAAGCAAGGGTAATTCAGCGGTCGGTAAGTGACTGCTCAACCACTCCCCTCCATCTTCCTCCCTCATCCGCTCCCTCTTCCTTCCTCGTCCCTTCCTTTTTCCTCCCTCGCCCCCCCACTCTTCCTCCCTGCATCAGGTGCGAGCAGAGTTGGTGAGTCAGCTGTCATTAATCGCCTTCTAACCCACTCCCTTCACTCGCTCCTCCCCTTCCCCCCCCTCATCCTCTCTTCCCACCTGCTCCCACCACCAGGTGCGGGTGGCGGTGGTGGGATCTCCCAACGTGGACAATTCAGGCGTCACTAAGTGACCGCTCAGCCACTCCTCTCCTGCTCCCCCCTCGTCCCCTTCATCTTCCTCCCTTGCAACAGGTGCGTGCAGCGGTGGTGGGATTCCCCAACGTGGGCAAGTCAGCCGGGATCAACCGTTAGCCCAACCACTCCCGTTCCTATGTCCCAACTCCTGGGCCCCCACCTCCTCTCTCCCCACCTGCTGCTCCCTCCCTGCAACAGGTGCGGGCGGCGGTGGTGGGATTCCCCAACGTGGGCAAGTCAGCAGTAATCAATCGTTTGCTCAACCGTCGGGTCGTCGCCAGTGCTCCCAGGCCAGGGGTCACACGGGAGGTCAAGTGAGTCCCTGCACTGGTTTCCCGTGTTCACAATTGTTCAAATGTCTCCTCCGTAGGTAAGAGCACTTCCCGAATCGTTTTTAGGCCCGGGCTCGCCAGAAAGGTTATCTTGGTTTAGTGAGGTCATGAGGCCCGGGCTGGTTTGAGAAAGGCAGTGGATTTCATCTTCATGGTGAGAAATGAAGCAAGGCAGCACTCCAATGGTGTAATGGGCAGGCGACTCAATGGGCTACGATTGGGGAAGGGTATAATGCTGCTGACCTCAACCTTCCAACAACTCTTGATCGAACTGAACTGTGACGTCTGATTGCTGCTGTTCCTTGAGTGAGTGTGTACGGTATAACGAATTCAACTGATCGGCCTGTCTCTCTAACCATCTGCCACTCTCTTTCTTGCTCTTAACGCATGGGCGCTTGCACCTGCTAGACACACACGGGGGATGCTGCCAGACAACAAGGCACCCCTTCATGCAATCATTCCCGCATGCCTCCTCTTGCCTCCCCTTGCCTGCACCTACCCTCCTAACCATCTCTCATGCGCCTGCCAACAGGTGGGTGCGGCTGGGAGTGGGCTAGACGCACCGGGAGTGCTACCGGCTGGGAGGATCGTTCATGCATTCCTTCCCCCTGTCCTCCCTTGCCCCCTTGCCCCCTTGCCCCCTTGCCCCCTTGCCCCCTTGCCCCCTTGCCCCCTTGCCCCCTTGCCCCCTTGCCCCCTTGCCCCCTTGCCCCCTTGCCCCCTTGCCCCCTTGCCCCCTTGCCCCCTTGCCCCCTTGCCCCCTTGCCCCCTTGCCCCCTTGCCCCCTTGCCCCCTTGCCCCCTTGCCCCCTTGCCCCCTTGCCCCCTTGCCCCCTTACCCCCTCTTGCCTGCACGTGCCCTTTAATCCTCTCATCTGCCTTGAATAGGTGGGTGCGGCTGGGAGAGGGCCTGGACCTGTTAGACGCGCCTGGCGTGCTGCCAGCGAGAATAGCGGACCAGGCAGCAGCGGCACGGCTGGCCATGTGTAACGACATTGGTGAAGCTGCTTATGCTGTTGCTGGTGTGGCCGCCATTCTCGTGGAGCTGCTGAAGAGACTCCCTACTGCTGGTGAGACTCCCCACTACTGGTGAGACTCCCCACTACCAGTTAGGATAGCGGACCAGGCAGCAGCGGCACAGCTGGCCATGTGCAACGACATCAGTGAAGTGGCCTATGCTGTCGCTGGCGTGGCTGCTATTCTCGTGGAGCTGCTGAAACGGCTGCCCACTGCTGGTGAGTTGTTGCAGACCGTTACAATGCCCACGGCTGGTGAGACTGCCACGGCTGGTGAGACTGCCACGGCTGGTGAGACTGCCACGGCTGGTGAGACTGCCACGGCTGGTGAGACTGCCACGGCTGGTGAGACTGCCACTACTGGTCAGACTGCCACTGCTGGCGAGCGTTTCTTTTAACAGGCTCCATGTCCTCTCCTGCTTCACTTATTCCATCCCCATCTAACCTACCTCGCTTCACGTGATCTGGTTCCCTGATGCCCATTCGGCTCATTGCTTGCCTGCTCTGCGCTGCAGCCCCCCCTGTGCTTTCAAGGCGCCTCAAAAGTCGAGCCCGCTTTGTGCCCATCTGTCTCCTTGCTTGTGTGCTTTTCAGGCCCCCATGTGCTGTCCAACGGGTACAAGGTCAAAGCAGACAGTTTATCTGGCGAAGAGTAAGCTCCTTGCATTGCATGGGATCCACCACACACACACCAGGCACACAGCGAGCACAGTCACTTAGTGTCCCGAGCACTTTCTTTTGATGAGCTTCTTTTGAGGCGCCTCAAAACCACACACACACCAGGCAAACAGCGATCACAGTTCACTTAGGTATCCGGAGCACTTACTTGTGATGAGCGCTGTGTTTGCTGTGAGGATAGTTCACGAACGAAGCTGTAAGTGCCCCCAAAAGTAACTGGAGAGTGCGCGCACAACAGAGTGCTGAGCACAAATGTTCTGCCTCCTCTCTCCGCTGGATACTGTCAACAATGAGCACTAGATAGTAACACTTTAAATAAACTCTATGTAGTATGTAGTAGTAGGTCGGCTGGCACGGGGGATGCCATGTGCCTCATGTGCCTCGAGAGCAGCTTTTCTATTCTGAAGCACTGGCACACACGACCCTTCGACTCATTCCTACTCCCACCTCTTCTCTCCGCTCCTCAATGCAGGTTCCTGGAGGCACTGGCAGACCGGCTGTGCTTGGGGGTGTGAACCAGGAGGCAGGCAGCCCACATGCTGCTCTGCTCTGGAGCCCTTCACATCCTTCATGCTCTCACTCTCTTCCTTTCCCTCCTCTCGCTGCAGGTTCCTAGAGGCACTGGCAGACCGGCTGTGCATGGGGGATGTGAACCAGGCAGCGCACAGAGTGCTCAAGGACTTCAGAAGAGGGGCGTTTGGCTGGATCGCTCTGGAGAGGCCCCCTGTGTGACTGTAAAGGAATATTCAATCGTGACTGGAAGGGAGGATGCCACCCACTGTATAGGTTCTGCTGGCAGTTGCTGCTTGTTTACTCGAGCAAAAGATGCGGTGGGATGCAAAAATCAGAGTCATCGCTAAGTACGCATTCTGTCTGTACGAGTTTAACAGATTTTATCTAGGGAGTACTGGAACTGTCTTCGCCTGAATAGTGAAGCTGTTAGTTGAGCACACATGAGCCCAGATGATACTGGCCCACTGTTCGGGGATCCGAGTAAATACAGTACTACGATGGAAGAACAAGAAGCAAACATTACACTCTTTGCATGCTAAACAGAAGCAGAAGCCGTGGTCATGAGGGAGTAAAGAAGGGCAGATTCAGTGTAAGCAGTATGCAGGGCGACAGCTGGCAGCAAACTGATGGAGTAGACGGCGAGAAGCCTGGCGGCAATCCCAAGGGTCATGTTTGGGAAGAGGAGGGAGAGGGAGAGGTGGAGTGGAGGAGGGCGACAAGGGCTGCAGAGAGCATGGCAGTGTCGATCCTGAGGGAGAGAGAGGCAGGAAAGGGGACTCCAGCACCTCCAGCTCCAGTACCCCTAGAACCAGCACCTCCAGTGCCAGTACCTCCAGCCCCGGCACCCCCAGCTCCAGCACCTCCAGCTCAAGCACCCCCAGAGCCAGCACCTCCAGCACCATTACCTCCGGTGTCAGCACCCCTAGAGTCGACTGCGACCTGAAGCGATAGTACCGAAGGCTGCAGCGGTGACTGTGAGGATGACTGTGGTGAAGGAGACGACACCGGACGTGCTACCGAGGGAAGAGAGGTAGCGTGAGACACACCTGACGGGGCAGGACCTGGGTGCGGTGGACGTAACGGAGGAGCACAGTACTAGGAGGAGGAGTGGGAGTGAGGAAGAGGGGAGGGGGAAGGGTCAGGAGAGAAGGGTGGGGATAACGGGTGTAGAAGGACACGGACTCGTCAAAAGTGATGTCACGGGAGTCAGTGTCAACGTGAAGTTAGGGGCATCAACCGGGAGTGGGATCACGAACATGCGCAATGGAGTCCTAGACACGGAACTCTGACGCAACACCAGGGGAACCAGTCTAGAGGCCGGTCGGTGAAACCTCCTGGCAAGAAACACGCGGCCAGAGGTTCAGCTGATGGGTGGCGCATCGAACCGCGTAGGGCCATAGAAAATGGGGCGCACAGGCATGGACCATGGAGTTGCGGGCGATTATTATGACCAAGCTATGCGGCGCTCAGCAACCCCATTATGTTGTGGTGAGTCCGGAAGTGTCCAAAACTGGTTGATGCCCTGGTCGCGACAAAACCCAGCAAGCACGCAATAGCGAAACTCACACATACAGTCGGAGTGGAGGCAAAGGACAGGGAGACGATGTTGGACATGAGCCTCTGAGAACAGGATCATGTTTTGAATTGCTGACCATCGGTCTTTTTGCGCCATTTTTGCGCCTTCGTACATGCGCAGAGAAGTTGGGGGCAGAAGGGGACATCTAGTCTGGCAAATAGAATTGGCAACTACAGGATCATGGCATTAGTCACGTCGGACTTCTGCCGCAAGGGGAACACCGTGGTGTAGCAAGAGAAGTTGTCAACCACCACCAGGAAGAAGCGCTCCTGCTCCAACCTAGTGACTCGGGTAGGGCCCCAGACGACCAGGTGCAAAATTCTGGAGTGGCGCGGTGGCTGGCGCAAAGAGGAGGAGTAAGGGGTGGCGCGCAACCTACCCTCGACACAAGGAGTGCACGGCGGTGCAGGTGATGGAAGGAGCGTCGGAAGTAAGGACGAGAGACCTGAGTCAAGACTGTGCCTAAACATGTTAAGGAGTCGGAGAAGTGAAGGATGACCAAGACGGTGGTGCCATAGGTCTGACAGGTTGGTGAATGACCAACAGGAGCACAACGCAGCAACCTGACCAGACGCAACTACTTGGGGAGACGTAGTCAGTAGTGAGAAGAGACCAGTGCGGGGCTCTCGGGAAAACGTGGTAAGACATGACCCGATAGCAACGTCCGTACATGTCGCAAACCTCGCATGTGCAGGGAAAGTGTCTGTGACCCCAATGGTGCTGAAGGTTTCCAATACCCTCCAATTTCCTCGAGAATAAAGGGATGTGAAGGCCAGTGAGGGAGCCAGAAGGGACAGCCGGGCACATGAGGGTGGTAATGAAGGAATACTATGGAGAGAGCGTAGCGGTAGCGAGAGAGTTTCTGCTATGTGAATGGTGTTGCGCCAACAACTCGGTAGAGTTTTGGTAGTGTAAGTCTCAAATGACTAAGTGAGAAACCAAGTGGAGATTGGAATTCACTAGGAAAATATATTATATGAAACACACATGCAAACACAAACATATATAGGCAGGCGAGGGGTTTCACAATGTTGCGTGGCGCTGCGAGTAACCCAACCCTCACGAAAAGTTCTGTGAGGGTGAGCGAACGCGCCCCGCCGAACTTCCATCCAACTCAGCAGCGAAGGTACTTCCGTACACGCCACTCCACCGAACTCAGCTTGGGAGTGGCGGGCCTCATAAGGAAGCACACCAAGACTCCAACGACTCTTCTTCCCAGCACCGACTCCAGCGTAGTCACTCGTAGTCACTCGTAGTTGCTCGTGACTGCCACCGAAATCTGCGTCGGTGCCGAGTAGTCTTTGTCGCTAGCTACCGACCTGCCAAGTCAACATTCATCGAGGGCCCTTGCTGTCGTAACACTCCCCTGCCATACTACAGGAAGGCCCTTAATAAGCACAGGGCATGCATACACACATACACACCAAAAAGGGACTCGACACACAAACGAAGCACTCTCAAAGTGCAATCACACACCGCACCAGCCATGGATAGGCCATCGCACCATCACCATCATGGAGTGCCTAGGTCTCACTCCCCTCGCTCGAGAGCCTCACCTGCCCCACAGGCTCAAAGCAACGGCTGAAGGCGGGGAAATGCAACGCCTTTGTAAGGTAGTCAGCAGGTTGCTCACTCGTAGGGATGTACTGCAGCTGCAGCTTCCTACGCTTTACCATGTGCTGCAGCCACATGTGGCGACGCTCCATGTGCTTGAGGCTCCCCTTGAGCCCCATGCCACCTGCCACTGTAATGGCGGAGGATTTATCTAGAAAGAGAGTAGTGGGCTCCTCACTCTTCAGCAGTTGAAATTCTGCTAGCAGGAAGTGTAGCCTGCGCGTCTCCTTCCCAGCCTATACAGCAGCAACGTACTCAGACTCAGTGAAGGAGAGGGTGGCGCAATGAATCCTCTGGCTCGCCCAGGAGACAGCGGCACCGCCGAGCACGAAGACATAGCCACCTGTGCTGGTCCTGTTCTGCTTGTCTCCTGCATCATCAGCATCGGCGTAGCCCACCAGCTCCAAGGACTCCGGCCCACCACCAAACTCCAGCGCCACATCCCTGCTCCCCACCAAGTACGCCAAGCACCGGTCCAACTCCTTCCAGTGCTGATCACTCCGCACAGTCTGGCCCGACCCCAGCTTGCTGCAAGCGAAAGAGATGTCAGGACAGGTGGTACAAGCCGCGAACTGCAAGGATCCCACCTTCTGCCTGTACTCCTCCTCCTATTGAGACTACCATCCCACATCCGCGAAGGTCTGCACAATGAGAGTGCTTCGAGGAACTCGCTGCGGCTGCTCCTCGTCAAAGAAGTGCCTATGGACCTTGTCCATATAGGCCCCCTGGTGCAGCCACAGCCTCCTTGTAGGCCTGTCCCGAATCAGCTGCAAGCCCAGATACTTCTCCACAGGGCTAATCTCTCGCAGCTGAAAGGCACTCTGCAGCAGGTCACGCAGCTCCCCCAGCATGCTCTGACTGCGGCTGGCAGCAAGCAAGTCATCCACATACACCACCAGCCAGCACATCTCCCCCTTAGCATCACTCTTGAAGTACAGAGCCTCATCCACCTGGCTCTTCTTCCATCCAGCCCCAAGCAGCACCCCATCCAAGGCCTCATACCATAGCATCGGGCTCTTCTTGAGCCCATACATACTCTTCACCAACTTAAAGACAAGAGGAGTCCCATCCTCGTAGTAGATCGGCTGCTCCATGTAAAGGTCTCGGTCCAGCACGCCATGGAGGAACGCGTTCTTCACATCCAGCTACATCAGGTCCAAATCAAGCCCAGCTACAATCGCCAGAAGCACACGCGCCGTCACATAGCTTCGCAAATGGGCGTACGTCTCCTCATAGTCCACCCCTTACCACCTGCGTGAACCCCTTCACCACTAGCCTCGCCTTCTCACGCTCCACTATTCCATCCAGTCGGAACTTGGTGTTCAAAATCCAGCGGCTCTTCATCACATTCACCCCTGGAGGACGCGGAACCAGCTCCCACGTCCCCTGCTCAATCAATCTTTGCATCTCCTCCTCCATTGCCTCCTTCACCTTGTCACCCTTCCAGCAGCCCAAGGCCTCCTTCACTGTCATCTTAGCTACATCCCACTGCCTCTCAGGGTCGGCCACCACATCTGGGTCCAGGTCCGTCCACTCCTCGTCATCCAAACCCGCCGGTTCAATCACTACTGCCCAAGCATACTTAATTGGCAGGACACCACAAGTGATGCGAGTGGAGCGACGCAGCGGCGGTGCAGTTAACGTCCCAGAAACCAACGCACGACCACCATCTCTAAATCCCCACATCTCCTGCTCCCCTGTCTACGGCTCCCCTGTTTGCTCCTCCCCAATCTGCTCCTCCCCTCTCTGCTGCTCCCCAATCTGCTGCTCCCCTGTCTGCTGCTCCCCTGTCTCCTGCCCCCCACTCTGCTGCACTCCATCCATGCTGCTCTCGTACTGCAGCTGCTCAGTCACAACGCGCTGCCCGTCGGTGATCATCACAGACGGCAACACCATTGTCCCCCCCTCACCAACGGGCGGCGCCGTGGAAGACGAAGAGGAGGGTGGGGCAGGTGCAGGAAGGATGGAGAGTGGAAGAGGAGAGGGAATAACAGGAGGAGGAGGGGTAGCCAAGGGGGTGAGGATGGAGGAGGCACGGTAGGAGGAACCACATGAGGGTACACTGTAGGAGGAGGTGGGGTGGGGACTGAGGTAGGGACATAGGGCATAGCAGGAGGTGTGACCACTTCCTCCTCCTCCACCTCCTCCTCAAGAGTATGGCATAGGGCATAGCATAGGGCATCGGATGCCCCCCATGCTCCTGCTGATGCCAAGCCTTCCATCCTGCCAAGGACATGGTCTCATAAAAAACTGCTTCCACAGTGGTGATGAGGCCATTGGACAAGTCCAGCATGTGCCAGCCCTTGCTTGCTGCTGACACCCCCAAGTGCAACCCCCAGCGAGCCTTTGGCACTAGCTTCCCCCTAGGCTGCGACAGCGGCACCATGTACTGCAGCATGCAGCCCCAAACACGCACCATACTGACATCGGGTTTGTGTCGGAAGACGAGCTCGTACGGCGTCACACAAGAGGGCAGCGAGGCGTTCTCCACGCGGTTGCGCACCCAGACGGCCTGCGACAGCGCCAGGTGCCACCAGTGATGCTGCACACCCATGTGCAACAACATCATCCGCACCGCCTCCACAATGCTGCGCATCTCCCTCTTGGCCATCCCGTTCTGCTCCGGCGTGTACGGGCATGTGAGGTCGTGGATGATCCCCTTCTCGTTGAGGAAGAGCGTGAAGTCATATCCCAGGAAATTGCCACCCTGATCAGTGCGCAGCGCCTTCACTATGGTCTTACACTGCCGCTCTGCCATCGGGAGCCACTTCTGGACTGCCGCCAGTGCATCACTCTTCTTGTCCAAAGGGTAGGCCCAGACGTACCGAGTCTTGCGATCCTTCAGCACCAAAAACTAGCGGCTTTCGTCCTTAGCCACTTCACGAAAAGGGCCACACAGGTCAGCATGCACCGCTTCAAGCAACTCATCCTCCTCCTCTCCCATAGAAGGAAAGGTATGAAGAGTGATCTTTCCCCCAACACAAGAGACGCATGGCATGCCTGACTTGCCCCCCTTTTCTAGCTCCAAGCCCTTCACTGACCCGTGAACCGCAGTACGCTCTATGGCGTCCACACAGACGTGTGCAAGGCGTGCATACCACTTGTCCACCTTAGATCGCACGCCCGTCGCCAAAGTGCGCAGGGCCACCGTTTCACCCTCCTGCTACTGCGTCGAGCATGGCTGGAAGTTCGTGCAGAGAACATGTCCCTTGAACTCCGCACGACCAAGGAGCGACCCATCTGGCGCGCGCAGTAGAGTCGCGTCTCTGGCATCCAGCAGCTGCACGCCACTATCACGCAGCTGCCCAGCAGAAAGAAGACTCGCCTGCACTCCAGGTACATACAGCACGTCCGGCACCAAGACACGCCTGCCCCCGTCTCCAAGGAGAGCGACTGTGCCTCGCCCCTGCACCTCCTGAGGAGTGCCGTTGAAGCCGATAACCTGTTTGATACCGCCGCCACTGCTCATCTCCACAAAGCCAGAGCAATCTCCCATGAGATGGTGGGAGCATCCGCTATCAATTAGCACGACGCTCGGGTTCGCCTTCACAGCAGCTGCAACAACATGTAAGCGCTCCCCGGCCTCTGGCTCCAGCATGACGGGAGGAGGATGCTCTACAACGGGCTTCACCATCGCACATGATGACTGCCCGCTCCCCTTAGAGCCATCACCCCCCTTGCCACCCGCGCTGCTGCCCCCAGAACCCTCTCCACCCTTATCTGCCTCCTTATCCGCCCGCTGCCGACAGTACTTTGCGATATGCCCCGGCTGCCCACACACGTAGCAATTCCCCTTGAACCCTCCTTTCTCCCACTTGGACTGGCCATCCTTAGCCCCTTTCCACTTCTCCCCTACCTCTCCGAACCCACCCCCATGCTTAGGCTGCTGCTGTTGTGCCGTAGTGGGAGGGGAAGGGGATGAAGTCTGCTGGAATTGGGGCTTACCCTTCTTGGTAAACACTTCGTTAGCCTGGGGAAGAAATTGGTCATTTCGTCCCTCCGCCGCCAGCGTACACTCCTCCTCGATGATGTAGCTAGCGAGGGTGTCCTCGTCCAGCTCCTTGCGCACCTGCGGCAGTTTCAGCATCCTGCGTAAGAGGTCATACTGCTGCGACAACCCCTTCACGACGTGAATAATGTACGACGCCTGTGAGTAATTTACGCTAGCCATCCTGAGGTTCACTAGGATCTGCTGTGCACTAGGATGTGGCGGACTCGTGCTCTCCCATCTCGAGGTTAGTGAGCGCCTGCTCTAGCTGGCCTATGTACAGGTCGTCCTTTGCCATATACATGCGTATGATAACCTGCCATGCCTGAAAGCCGGCATCTACCTTGAAGCGACATGCCTTAAGGGCGATCTGTACAGTGGGAGAGCAACAACGGGAAATGGTGGTGAATGTCAATAACTGCATTGCGCGCACCCCCATGTACTACTACTACGTTGTCTTGTAGTGCACTGAGATGGCGAAGGGAAGGAGAAAGCCTGGAAGGTTAGGTTGGTTGTGTGTCAAAGTGTTATAATGCTTATATTGTGTAGGCTATAGTGGGGTAGCCCACAAGGGGTACAACCCTATTAGGGTTAGTACTTGTACCAACTTTCTGCTCAATGCATTCATTCTCGTTCAGTATTCTGACATGGTTTCAGAGCAGGTCCTGTTCCAGGACCGTTTTTTTTAGGGCCCACCGAATAGTTCCCTGCCCGTAGCGCGTTACCCACTGTCGCGCTACCCCACTGTCGCGCTGCCCTGCCCTGCTGGCTGCCGCGCTGCCCTGCCCTGCCTGTCGCGCTGCCCTGCTGACCGCGCACTGCCCTGCCCTGCCCGCGCGCCGCCCTGCTGGCCGCCGCGCCGCCCTTTGCAGCCCGCGCGCCACCCTTTGCAGCCTGCACGCCGCACTGCTGGCCGCATGCCGCCCCTTTCCTGCCCGCGACCCGCCCTACTCACCGACGTGCTGGCCACTGCGCCGCCCTGCCCTGCCTGCGCGCTGCCCTGCTGGCTGCCGCGCCGCCCTGCCCTGCCCGCGCGCCGCCCTGCTGGCCGCCGCACCGCCCTTTGCAGCCCGCACGCCGCACTGCTGGCCACGCGCCGCCGTTCCTGACCGCGCGCTGCCCTGCTAGCTGCGTGCCGCCCTGCTGGCAGCCGCCCTGCCCTGCCCTGCCTGCGTGCCGCCTTGCTGGCCGCCGCCCTGCCCTGCCCTGCCAGTTGCGCCGCCCTGCCCTGCCCTGCCAGTTGCGCCGCCCTGCCCTAGCTGTGCGCCGCCCCGCCCCGCCCTGCGCGCTTCCCTTGTGCTTGCGCGCCGCTCTGCCCGTCGTGCTGTCCTTGCTTGCGTGCTGCCCTGCTTGTCGCGCGCCACCGTGATCTGCCCGCTATGGCTACTCTCAACATTCTCACATTCGATTTTGAGGGCCGTCCGATCCAAATCGATATGTGACTCGAGCCTCTCTCGCCCCTCCTGCCACAGCTGACAGTGAAACTCGCTCACTGTGGCTTACACGTGACGCTGCTGCTCGCTTAGCCGTTCGCAACCACTTACCGTTAGCCGAACGCGCCCACTTTGGTCACCACAAGACTGCTAAAGCCCTGTACGACGCTGTAGTCACTCGTTACTCCTCCCTTGCCACTGCTGCTCTCGGCCGTCTTATACTGCCCTACCTTTTTCCCGAGCTGTCCGCCTTTGCCACAGTCGACGACCTCATCACCCACCTTCGCACTAGCGACACTCACTACCGCGCTGCCCTCACAGCCGAGTACGCTGCGCATCAGCTCAACCTCTGGCCCCGTGTCTCCTTGCCGGAGACCTCGCCTACACTGCGTTGGATGGGGAAGGTTGGCGATGCGTCGGTGTTCCGGGTCTGGGGCTCTTGTGCCTTTGTCCACGATAATTCATGAGACAAGCTCTCTTCCTGACGATTTTGAGATATTTCGTCCCCTAATCTTCATAGACTCCGTCCTAGGTCCCTAACCATTTTCTATATTGTACAAGGGAAGGAAACACATTTCAATTTTCACTATTACCGTACCTACCTACCTTATATCAACAACAATCACGAACGACAAAGGAAGCCAAAACACAGAAAGAAGAAAAACAACACAGCAAAGCCTTCCCACTCCTCCTTACTGTCTCCTTTCCTTGGAGTTATACTACAAAGAAGGTTCCCCCTCTGACCACCTTCTCACAAGATTCAATTATTCTACTAAGTGAACAGCATAGATACAATTCAACGGTACCTGTACATCTCAAACTGCCCGAGCATGGCGCCATCAGGATACTGGAGTTGGCGGCACTGGAGTTGGAGGCGCTGGCGCAGGAGGCGCTGGAGCTGGAGGAGCTGGAGCTGTTGACCCTGGCGGCGCTGTGCAGCCGCGACCGTACTTCGTTCCCCTGCTTCAGCAGAATCTTGGTGTCCCGTCTTCTACTGGCCTTACTCCTCCCCTCCTGTGTCCACCGACTGACCAGTCGCAGCTCCCGTTACAGCCGGCCTCTCCACTGCCTGCTCCTTCTCCTTACACTGAGCAGTCCGGCGGTCTTAGAGAGCGTCGTGAGCCTGCGTCTCGTCCTGTCTTGCCTGTTCGCACTGCTCATCGCGTTCCTCGTTCGCGTCCTCCTCCTGTCCCCGGCACGCATGCTATGGCACTTCGTCCTTCCTCTGTTCCACTGCGTGTTCCTCTGACTGCTCCTCATGAGTCCTCTCTTCCTGAGGTCCCTGGCCCTGAGTCTGACCGCGCTCGTGCTACCAGTCCCGCTGTCTCTCGTCTCCTCGCCACTGCTGTCACAGACCCTTCTTTTGAGACTGCTGCTGCGCCTGCCCTCGTTGCTGAACTGCTTGACTTTGCTGCTACTTGTCGTCTAGACTACGCCACTACTCTTGTTGCTGAGTCTGCGTCTGCCTGTCCTCCGTCCGTCGGGGGTGAGTGTGCTCTTGGCACGGACGTCCTTGAGGACAGGCAGGAGGACTTTGAGTTTCTTGCAGCTGCTGTACCTCGTTTTGCTTCCATGCTACTTGCCCCTGAGGGAGACCCGGATGCACCAGACATCCCGACCCCACGCTCTTACGCAGAGGCGATTACGGGTCCTTACTCCTCTCAGTGGCAGGCAGCCATGGATGCCG